ACAGGTCCCCAGTACCCTATGCTTGTCTCCCTGTGGGATCCAGGACAGAACAGGTCCCCATTACCTCATGCTTGTCTCCTTGTGGGGATTCCAGGACAGAACAGGTCCCCAGTACCTCATGCTTGTCTCCCTGTGGGGATCCAGGACAGAATAGGTTCCCAGTATTCCATGCTTGTCTCCCTGTGGGGATCCAGGACAGAACAGGTCCCCAGTAGCCTATGCTTGTCTCCCTGTGGGGATCCAGGACAGAACAGGTCCCCAGTACCCCATGCTTGTCTCCCTGTGGGGATCCAGGACAGAATAGGTCCCCAGTATTCCATGCTTGTCTCCCTGTTGGGATCCAGGACAGAAGAGATCCCCAGTACCCCATGCTTGTCTCCCTGTGGGGATCCAAGACAGAATAGGTCCCCAGCGCCCCATGCTTGTCTCCCTGTGGGGATCCAGGACAGAATAGGTCCCCAGTACCCTATGCTTGTCTCCCTGTTGGGATCCAGGACAGAACAGGTCCCCAGTACCCCATGCTTGTCTCCCTGTGGGGATCCAGGACAGAATAGATCCCCAGTACCTTATGCTTGTCTCCCTGTTGGATTCCAGGACAGAACAGGTCCCCAGTACCTTATGCTTGTCTCCCTGTGGGGATCCAGGACAGAACAGGTCCCCAGTACCTAAAGCTTGTCTCCCTGTGGGGATCCAAGACAGAATAGATCCCCAGTAGCCTATGCTTGTCTCCCTGTGGGGATCCAGGACAGAATAGGTCCCCAGTAGCCTATGCTTGTCTCCCTGTTGGGATCCAGGACAGAAGAGATCCCCAGTACCCCATGCTTGTCTCCCTGTGGGGATCCAAGACAGAATAGGTCCCCAGTACCCCATGCTTGTCTCCCTGTGGGGATCCAGGACAGAATAGGTCCCCAGTACCCCATGCTTGTCTCCCTGTGGGGATCCAGGACAGAATAGGTCCCCAGTAGCCTATGCTTGTCTCCCTTTGTGGATCCAGGACAGAATAGGTCCCCAGTATCCCATGCTTGTCTCCCTGTGGGGATCCAGGACAGAACAGGTCCCCAGTACCCCATGCTTGTCTCCCTGTGGGGATCCAAGACAGAATAGGTCCCCAGCGCCCCATGCTTGTCTCCCTGTGGGGATCCAGGACAGAATAGGTCCCCAGTACCCTATGCTTGTCTCCCTGTGGGGATCCAGGACAGAACAGGTCCCCAGTACCCCATGCTTGTCTCCCTGTGGGGATCCAGGACAGAATAGATCCCCAGTACCTTATGCTTGTCTCCCTGTTGGATTCCAGGACAGAACAGGTCCCCAGTACCTTATGCTTGTCTCCCTGTGGGGATCCAGGACAGAACAGGTCCCCAGTACCTAAAGCTTGTCTCCTTGTGGGGATTCCAGGACAGAACAGGTCCCCAGTACCTAAAGCTTGTCTCCTTGTGGGGATCCAGGACAGAACAGGTCCCCAGTACCTTATGCTTGTCTCCTTGTGGGGATTCCAGGACAGAACAGGTCCCCATTACCTCATGCTTGTCTCCTTGTGGGGATTCCAGGACAGAACAGGTCCCCAGTACCTCATGCTTGTCTCCCTGTGGGGATCCAGGACAGAACAGGTCCCCAGTACCTTATGCTTGTCTCCTTGTGGGGATTCCAGGACGGAACAGGTCCCCATTACCCTATGCTTGTCTCCCTGTGGGGATCCAGGACAGAACAGGTCCCCAGTTTCTAAAGCTTGTCTCCCTGTGGGGATTCCAGGACAGAATAGGTCCCCAGTACTCAATGCTTGTCTCCCTATGGGGATCCAGGACAGAATAGGTCCCCAGTACCCCATGCTTGTCTCCTTGTGGGGATCCAGGACAGAACAGGTCCCCAGTACCTAAAGCTTGTCTCCATGTGGGGATTCCAGGACAGACTGGAGATCCCCAGTACCTAAAGCTTGTCTCCCTGTGGGGATTCTAGATGAGGATTTGACTGCAGTACCCCAGATTCCAGATGAAGATGTGTGACCTGCTTGACTGAACCTCATCATGACCAAACGGCTTGGATACGTGAAGTCTGTAAAACGAGATACTGTGAAGTCAGTCAAATGTGATACTGCTTTAACTATGGAACAATTATCATTGTTTTGATTTGTCAGCAATATATTCCTTTCTTGTGTTACAATGATGGTGAAATAATTGAAACTAAATATTGGTTCTGACTCCTGCACTTACACGTCTTTAAATCAGTCCAGTATTCTATTCAGCAAATCAAATTACATCAAGTTATTATTTGTAAGCAAACAATATGCCACCTCGGCCATCAACAATAATAAAGGGTGTCCTTTTTCTAACAGAATAATAAATTAAACCTACAAATGATCAAATAATGGCCAATTTATCCTATATTACTCCATAGACAGCAAGGCCTAATCAAGAAAACTGTTTTCACTGATGGTCACGTCTGGCATAATTCAGGGGGCACGGGTGGCCCAGTCGTCTAAGGCGCTGCGATTCGCTGTGCAGAGTTGCGTCCCTTGGGCACGCCAGAAACCTATGATTGTGGGTTCGAATCCCGGTTCGCCTCGATTATGTTTCTAGGTTTGTCAGCACCATACCCGTGCTCGTGGGTTTCACCGAAGTGGTAAACGTCTGAGACCTGCATCACTTCGGGCTTTCCACCCACATTAAGCTGACACGCCGCGATATAACTGTAATACTGTTAAAAGCGGCGTTAAACCCAACTCACTCACTCACTCTGCCATAATTCCCTGGAAAGTTGTCCGGCTAATAGTATATGGTAGGAGGATATCTCCCTGCTGACCCCCACTGTGTTCCTGGCATCTGAGATGATCTCAGGGGCTGGAGATCTGACCCATTAATTTTGTCATGGGAATAATACAAATAAAACTTCTATATTGGATTTTCAGTGTATACCATATTTTCTTGAGTATAGTGCACACCCTAGTATAACATTATGCGCACACATCCTCTAATGGATTCAGTATTTTGGAGGGAAAAAAAAGAATATTATGTGCAGAAAAAACTTACACCATACCCCTTTAGCGAAATCCGGTAAACAAACGGGTGATGAGAAATTTGAGATTAAAAATAACCAGACATGTTGATTTACCGTTCAAATTGTATGTTTTGCTCTGCTAGGCATTGTTTTACATCCAGGGATTTAGATTACCTTGTGCATTTTCTATGTTAATTTTGTTACCTGTCGGCAAACAGTGTAAGAGGCTTCACTGTGGGTCTCGACATGGAGTGTATGCTGAGAGGATGTATTGTTATTGTTTATGTTTGTATTAGATTTATATCATATCTTCCTATTTGATATCAATGGAATCTCTGAGACTGACACCCCCAGCAGTGATCTTTGGTCTCTTAAGATAGTAGTTGATGTGGTGTGACAAGCGTGGAATGTGGGGCAAGATGCATGCATGTAGGTTAGGGGCCATCTCAAACACTCAAAAGACAGATATTCAAAGAGGATGTGGAAACAGCTGTTGATACTTTCAAAACTTAATTTATCCATTTATTCACAAAATTTAAGAAGATATCAGAGTTGATTTATCTTTGTGCAAAATTGTAAAATCTTCCATTAAGTCTGCATGACCCGCACAGGGTTGAAGGCTGCGTAGCACAGTGAGGAGCTTGTGGCAGTGGCAGTAAAAATACTGCTGGAATGAGGTATTGATGTTTCTTTGTTTGTTGTTAAACGCCACACTCAGCAATATTCCAGCTATATGAGGGTGGTCTGTAAATAATCAAGTCTGGTCCAGACAATCCATTGATTGACATCATGAGCATCAATCCACACAATTCGAATACGATGACATGCATCGACCAAGTCTGCGAGCCTGACCATCCAATCGTGTTAGTCGCCCCTTACGAAAAGCATAGTCGCCTTTTACGGCAAGCATAGTTGCCTTTTACGACAAGCATAGTCGCCTTTTACGGCAAGCATAGTCGCCTTTTACGACAAGCCTAGTCACCTTATATGACAAGCATAGTCGCCTTTTTATGACAAGCATAGTCGACTTTTAGGGCAAGCATAGATGCCTTTTACGACAAGCATAGTCGCCTTTTATGACAAGCATAGTCGCCTTTTATGACAAGCATAGATGCCTTTTACGACAAGCATAGTCGCCTTTTACGGCAAGCATAGTCGCCTTTTACGACAAACATAGTCATCTTATATGACAAGCATAGTCGCCTTTTTATGACAAGCATAGTCGACTTTTAGGGCAAGCATAGTCGCCTTTTATGGCAAGCATAGTCGCCTTTTATGGCAAGCTATAAAATGGCAAGCATAGTCAACTTTTAGGGCAAACATAGTCGCCTTTTATGACAAGCATAGTCGCCTTTTACGACAATCATAGTCACCTTATATGACAAGCATAGTCGCCTTTTTATGACAAGCATAGTCGTCTTTTAGGGCAAGCATAGTCGCCTTTTACGGCAAGCATAGTCGCCTTTTACGACAAACATTGTCACCTTATATGACAAGCATAGTCGCCTTTTTATGACGGGCATAGTCGACTTTTAGGGCAAGCATAGTCGCCTTTTATGGCAAGCATAGTCGCCTTTTAGGGCAAGCTATAAAATGGCAAGCATAGTCAACTTTTAGGGCAAACATAGTCGCCTTTCATGACAAGCATAGTCGACTTTTAGGGCAAGTTTAGTCGCCTTTTATGACAAGCATAGTCGACTTTTAGGGCAAGCATAGTCGACTTTTAGGGCAAGCATATTCACCTTTTATGGCAAGCATAGTCGCCTTTTACGGAAAGCAAAGGAGCTTGTGACCAGTGACAGTATACAGACCTCTTGAACGAGGGTGAAAGTTTGTCTTTTTACTATTTATCACTTCACTAGGCAATATTCCAGTTATGTGGCTGCGGCCTGTAAATAAATGAGACCAGACAATCACTTGTAAATGAGTGAACACCTTAAGGCTTTACAAGGAATGTGAATGATGAAAGAAATACTAAAAAGGTTTTGATACTATCCCTTGATAGATATTGTAATGGCTGCAGTAACTGTAACTGTTGCTGTGTTTGGCTGTGGCCGGATGGGTAAACTACACCTGACCACCCTGGCTTCGCTGAGGGGGGTGAGGGTGAAGTGGGTGGTAGATGAAGCCGGTGTTCACCCTCAAGTACAGCAGGTGCTTGTTTCCCTCAGACTGCCGACCACAGACATTGCTGACATCACGGACATCAACACAGTGTTAGAAGACAAGGAGTGAGTGGCACTTCACGCTTCAAGTTGGGGGATGTTTCAAGCCAGGAAAGTTTGTTTTGTTTGGCACTTAGCAATATTCCGGCTTTAATACAGTGACCTATTAATAATTGAGTCTGGACCAGACAATCCAGTGATTGATATTATGAGCAACAAGACACATTGTCAGGTGCAATGACACACCTTATACCAAGTCTGCCACCCAATCCAGTAAACTGCCTCTTGAAAAATTTGAGGTGTACTTAAAATACAATTTATGTTAGGTTCTTATTTTGTGGGGGTGGTAGGGTAGCCTTGTGGTTTTAAAGCGTTCGTTAGTCACGCCGAAGACCCGGGTTCGATTCCAAACATGGGTACAATGTGTGAAGCCCATTTCTGGTGTCCCCTGCCGTGATATTGCTGGAATATTGCTAAAAACGGCGTAAAACCATACTCACTCACTCACTCTTATTTTGTGAAACACATATCACCATTACCAGTAGTTTTTATTTTATGTCCAGACTCGATTATTTACAGACTGCCATACAAAAGCTGGAATATTGCTTAGTGTGGCGATAAACAAATCAAACACTGGATCCTCGTGTGGATATTTTGTCGTTTGGGGATGTACTTGTTATTTCTTAAGCTGTACTCAACCATGTCCGTAGTTTGTCTCTTTATACTGAGGAACAACAAACACAGGAACAATACGGAGTGACACTAATTGATGATGGCTGATTTCATACCAATATCTTAAGCATTGTTCATGAATTAGAGTTCATGAATTAATGTAGAATATCAAATATCTAATGAAGGAATTCATTAGTAATTAAAGAAATGTGTTTTTAAAATAGTTTGTCAGTTTCTTAGTCCTGTAGTCCAAGTTGACGCAGCTTTAATGAATTAATTTTTGTTTCTGAGGGTGACAGCTGTCGTGATCTGTACACCTGCCTCAACCCACGAGAACCTGATACAGGCTGCACTGAACACAGGTATGTCGCACACTGAACACTGAACACAGGTATGTCACACACTGAACACAGGTAATTCACATACTGAACACAGGTATGTCACACACTTAACACTGTACACAGGTATGTCACACACTGAACAAAGGTAATTCACATACTGAACACAGGTATGTCACACACTTAACACTGAACACAGGTACGTCAAACACAGAACACAGGTATGTCACACACTGAACACTGAACACAGGTAATCCACACACTGAACACAGGTATGTCACACACTGAACACAGGTAATCCACACACTGAACACAGGTATGTCTCACACTAAACACAGGTATGTCACACACTAAACACAGGTATGTCTCACATTGAACACAGGTATGTCACACACTAAACACAGGTATGTCTCACACTGAATACAGGTATGTCACACACTGAACACTGAACACAGGTATGTCACACACTAAACACAGGTATGTCACACACTAAACACAGGTATGTCACACACTAAACACAGGTATGTCTCACATTGAACACAGGTATGTCACACACTAAACACAGGTATGTCTCACATTGAACACAGGTATGTCTCACACAGAACACAGGTATGTCACACACTAAACACAGGTATGTCTCACATTGAACACAGGTATGTCTCACACTGAACACAGGTATATCACACACTGAACACAGATATATCACACACTGAACACAGGTATGTCACACACAGAACACAGGTATATCACACACTGAACACAGGTATGTCACACACTGAACACTGAACACAGGTATGTCTCACATTGAACACAGGTATGTCTCACATTGAACACAGGTATGTCACACACTTAACACAGGTATATCACACACTGAACACAGGTATGTCACACACAGAACACAGGTATGTCACACACAGAACACAGGTATGTCACACACTGAACACAGGTATGTCTCACATTGAACATAGGTATCTCACACACTGAACACAGATATATCACACACTAAACACAGGTATGTCTCACATTGAACACAGGTATGTCACACACTAAACACAGGTATGTCTCACATTGAACACAGGTATGTCTCACACAGAACACAGGTATGTCACACACTAAACACAGGTATGTCTCACATTGAACACAGGTATGTCTCACACTGAACACAGGTATATCACACACTGAACACAGATATATCACACACTGAACACAGGTATGTCACACACAGAACACAGGTATATCACACACTGAACACAGGTATGTCACACACTGAACACTGAACACAGGTATGTCTCACATTGAACACAGGTATGTCTCACATTGAACACAGGTATGTCACACACTTAACACAGGTATATCACACACTGAACACAGGTATGTCACACACAGAACACAGATATGTCACACACAGAACACAGGTATGTCACACACTGAACACAGGTATGTCTCACATTGAACATAGGTATCTCACACACTGAACACAGATATATCACACACTGAACACAGGTATGTCACACACTGAACACAGGTATGTCACACACTAAACACAGGTATGTCTCACATTGAACACATGTATATCACACACTGAACACAGATATATCACACACTGAACACAGGTATGTCTAACACTGAACACAGGTATGTCACACACTAAACACAGGTATGTCACACACAGAACACAGGTATGTCACACACTGAACACTGAACACAGGTTTGTCACACACTGAACACAGGTATGTCAAACACTAAACACAGGTATGTCACACACTGAACACAGGTATGTCTCACATTGAACACAGGTATGTCTCACACTGAACACAGGTATGTCTCACATTGAACACAGGTATGTCACACACTAAACACAGGTATGTCTCACATTGAACACAGGTATGTCTCACACTGAACACAGGTATGTCACACACTGAACACAGGTATGTCACACACTAAACACAGGTATGTAACACACTAAACACTAAACACAGATATGTCACACACTAAACACAGGTATATCACACACTAAACACAGGTATGTCTCACATTGAACACAGGTATGTCACACACCAAACACAGGTATGTCTCATACTAAACACAGGTATGTCACACACTAAACACAGGTATGTCACACACAGAACACAGGTATGTCACACACTGAACACTGAACACAGGTATGTCTCACATTGAACACAGGTATGTCTCACATTGAACACAGATATGTCACACACTGAACACAGGTATATCACACACTGAACACAGGTATGTCACACACAGAACACAGATATGTCACACACTGAACACAGGTATGTCACACACAGAACACAGATATGTCACACACTGAACACAGGTATATCACACACTGAACACAGGTATGTCACACACAGAACACAGATATGTCACACACTGAACACAGGTATGTCACACACAGAACACAGATATGTCACACACTGAACACAGGTATCTCACACACTAAACACAGGTATATCACACACTGAACACAGATATGTCACACACAGAACACAGGCATGTCACACACAGAACACAGGTATGTCACACACTGAACACTGAACACAGGTATGTCTCACATTGAACACAGGTATGTCTCACATTGAACACAGGTATGTCACACACTGAACACAGATATGTCACACACTGAACACAGGTATGTCACACACAGAACACAGGTATGTCACACATTGAACACAGGTATGTCTCACATTGAACACAGGTATGTCACACACAGAACACAGATATGTCACACACAGAACACAGGTATGTCACACACTGAACACAGATATGTCACACACTGAACACAGGTATGTCACACACAGAACACAGGTATGTCACACATTGAACACAGGTATGTCTCACATTGAACACAGGTATGTCACACACAGAACACAGATATGTCACACACAGAACACAGGTATGTCACACACTGAACACAGGTATGTCTCACATTGAACATAGGTATCTCACACACTGAACACAGATATATCACACACTGAACACAGGTATGTCACACACTGAACACAGGTATGTCACACACTAAACACAGGTATGTCTCACATTGAACACAGGTATGTATCACACTGAACACAGGTATGTCACACACTAAACACAGGTATGTCACACACTAAAGACAGGTATGTCACACACTGAACACAGGTATGTCTCACACTGAACAGAGGTATGTCTCACATTGAACACAGGTATGTCACACACTAAACACAGGTATGTAACACACTAAACACAGATATATCATACACTGAACACAGGTATATCACACACTGAACACAGGTATATCACACACTAAACACAGGTATATCATACACTGAACACAGGTATATCACACACTAAACACAGGTATGTCTCACATTGAACACAGGTATGTCATACACTGAACACAGGTATGTAACACACTAAACACAGGTATATCACACACTGAACAAAGGTATATCACACACTGAACACAGATATATCACACACTGAACACAGGTATGTCACACACTGAACACAGGTATATCACACACTAAACACAGGTATGTCTCACATTGAACACAGGTATATCACACACTAAACAGAGGTATGTCTCACACTGAACACAGGTATGTCACACACTGAACACAGGTATGTCACACACTGAACACAGGTATGTCACACACTGAACACAGGTATGTCTCACACTGAACACTGAACACAGGTATGTCACACACTGAACACAGGTATGTCACACACTGAACACAGGTATATCACACACTAAACTCAGGTATATCACATTGAACACAGGTATGTCTCACACTGAACACAGGTATATCACACACTGAACACAGGTATGTCACACACTGAACACAGGTATATCACACTAAACACAGGTATGTCACATTGAACACAGGTATGTCTCACACTGAACACAGGGATGTCACACACTGAACACAGATATATCACACACTGAAGACAGGTATGTCTCACATTGAACATAGGTATCTCACACACTGAACACAGATATATCACACACTGAACACAGGTATGTCACACACTGAACGCAGGTATGTCACACACTAAACACAGGTATGTCACACACTGAACACAGGTATGTCACACACTGAACACAGGTATGTCACACACTGAACACAGGTATGTCACACACTGAACACAGGTATATCACACACTAAACACAGGTATGTCACATTGAACACAGGTATGTCTCACACTGAACACAGGTATGTCTCACACTGAACACAGGTATGTCTCACACTGAACACAGGTATGTCTCACATTGAACACAGGTATGTCTCACACTGAACACAGGTATGTCACACACTGAACACAGGTATGTCACACACTGAACACAGGTATGTCACACACTGAACACAGGTATGTCTCACACTGAACACTGAACACAGGTATGTCACACACTGAACACAGGTATGTCACACACTGAACACAGGTATATCACACACTAAACACAGGTATGTCACATTGAACACAAGTATGTCTCACACTGAACACAGGTAAGTCTCACACTGAACACAGGTATATAACACACGGAACACTGAACACAAGTATGTAACACAATGATTACCTGTATATCATTGTGTTATACTGAACACAGGTATACTGTTGTGTTAACAGTCATATCAAGACGCCGCTGGTTATGTTTATGCTCCAGGGAAGCATGTGTTCTGTGAGAAGCCCATCGGCCTGAGCTGTGAGAGCGCCACGTCCAGCTACCGCCTCGCGAGGGAGAAGCGCCTCACACTGTACTGTGGCTTCCAGAGGTGAGGGGAACTCTGCTGCTGTGGAGCGAGGGAGTGAGTTCGGTTTGAAAGCGGACTGAACCATTTTTGTAAGACATTCACCAAGAGGGCAAGTGCCGCTGTGTGTCCTCTACCCACATTAAGTCATCACGCCATTATCAATGAAATAATATTGTATTAATCCCAACTCACCTGATTGACAGGATATTTTTGTTTTAACTGAATTTCATTCTTTTAAGTTCTCTTATATTTTAAGACAATAGTATCTGTCTGCAGAAAGTCACTATTGGTCATTGTCCAGAGTATAAAAGCAGCTAGCAATATGGTGTAAGGTGTAGTGTATTATATCCCTGACCTCCCAAATCAGCTCTATATCTAACAATAACAATATCTTCAGGGTCTGCTCATATGACGTTTCAGAGCGTCAATGCAAATTGTGCAACAAAATACCTGAATCATCTCTACTTGAACACGGCATTAATGAGCGTACAATAATATTCCCAACAGACGAAAGGATGCAGACTTTAGTGAAGTGTACTCCAAGATCAGGCAGGGGGTCATCGGCAAACTCCGCATCCTCAAGCTCACATCACGAGATGGCCCTTCCCACAATACATCAGCCTTCCTCCAACATTCAGGTATATACCGCCATCATGTCATACATACTCTCTCTCTCTTCTTCCCTGTATGAACTGCCATCATGTCAAACATACTCTCTCTCTCTCTTCTTCCCTGTATATACTGCCATCATGTCATACATACTCTCTCTCTCTTCTTCCTTGTATATACTGCCATCATGTCATACATACTCTCTCTCTTCTTCCCTGTATATACCGCCATCATGTCATACATACTCTCTCTCTCTCTTCTTCCCTGTATATACTGCCATCATGTCATACATACTCTCTCTCTCTTCTTCCCTGTATATACTGCCATCATGTCATACATACTCTCTCTCTCTCTTCTTCCCTGTATATACTGCCATCATGTCATACATACTCTCTCTCTCTTCTTCCTTGTATATACTGCCATCATGTCATACATATTCTCTCTCTTCTTCCCTGTATATACCGCCATCATGTCATACATACTCTCTCTCTCCCTTCTTCCCTGTATATACTGCCATCATGTCATACATACTCTCTCTCTCTTCTTCCCTGTATATACCGCCATCATGTCATACATACTCTCTCTCTTCTTCCCTGTATATACTGCCATCATGTCATACATACTCTCTCTCTTCTTCCCTGTATATACTGCCATCATGTCATACATACTCTCTCTCTCTTCTTCCCTGTATATACTGCCATCATGTCATACATACTCTCTCTCTCTCTTCTTCCCTGTATATACTGCCATCATGCGATACATACTCTCTCTCTCTTCTTCCCTGTATATACTGCCATCATGTCATACATACTCTCTCTCTCTTCTTCCCTGTATATACTGCCATCATGTCATACATACTCTCTCTCTCTCTTCTTCCCTGTATATACTGCCATCATGTCACACATACTCTCTCTCTTCTTCCCTGTATATACTGCCATCATGTCATACATACTCTCTCTCTCTCTTCTTCCCTGTATATACTGCCATCATGTCATACATACTCTCTCTCTCTTCTTCCCTGTATATACTGCCATCATGTCACACATACTCTCTCTCTTCTTCCCTGTATATACTGCCATCATGTCATACATACTCTCTCTCTCTCTTCTTCCCTGTATATACTGCCATCATGTCATACATACTCTCTCTCTCTTCTTCCTTGTATATACTGCCATCATGTCATACATACTCTCTCTCTCTTCTTCCCTGTATATACTGCCATCATGTCATACATACTCTCTCTCTCTTCTTCCTTGTATATACTGCCATCATGTCATACATACTCTCTCTCTCTTCTTCCCTGTATGTACTGCCATCATGTCATAATACTCTCTCTCTCTCTTCTTCCCTGTATATACTGCCATCATGTCATACATACTCTCTCTCTCTCTCTTCTTCCCTGTATATACCGCCATCATGTCATACATACTCTCTCTCTTCTTCCCTGTATGTACTGCCATCATGTCATACATACTCTCTCTCTCTCTTCTTCCCTGTATATACTGCCATCATGTCATACATACTCTCTCTCTTCTTCCCTGTATATACTGCCATCATGTCACACATACTCTCTCTCTCCCTTCTTCCCTGTATATACCGCCATCATGTCATACATACTCTGTCTCCCTTCTTCGTTGTATATACCGCCATCATGTCATACATACTCTCTCTCTTCTTCCCTGTATATACTGCCATCATGTCATACATACTCTCTCTCTTCTTCCCTGTATATACTGCCATCATGTCATACATACTCTCTCTCTCTCTTCTTCCCTGTATATACTGCTATCATGTCATACATACTCTCTCTCTCTCTTCTTCCCTGTATATACTGCCATCATGTCATACATACTCTCTCTCTCTCTTCTTTCCTGTATATACTGCTATCATGTCATACATACTCTCTCTCTTCTTCCCTGTATATACTGCCATCATGTCATACATACTCTCTCTCTCTCTTCTTCCCTGTATATACTGCTATCATGTCATACATACTCTCTCTCTCTCTTCTTCCCTGTATATACTGCTATCATGTCATACATACTCTCTCTCTCTCTTCTTCCCTGTATATACTGCTATCATGTCATACATACTCTCTCTCTCTCTTCTTCCCTGTATATACTGCCATCATGTCATACATACTCTCTCTCTCTCTTCTTCCCTGTATATACTGCCATCATGTCATACATACTCTCTCTCTTCTTCCCTGTATATACCGCCATCATGTCATACATACTCTCTCTCTTCTTCCCTGTATATACTGCCATCATGTCATACATACTCTCTCTCTCTTCTTCCCTGTATATACTGCCATCATGTCATACATACTCTCTCTCTCTTCTTCCCTGTATATACTGCCATCATGTCACACATACTCTCTCTCTCCCTTCTTCCCTGTATATACTACCATCATGTCACACATACTCTCTCTCTCTTCTTCCCTGTATATACTGCCATCATGCCATACATACTCTCTCTCTCTTCTTCCCTGTATATACTGCCATCATGTCATACATACTCTCTCTCTTCTTCCCTGTATATACTGCCATCATGTCATACATACTCTCTCTCCCTTCTTCCCTGTATATACAGCCATCATGTCATACATACTCTCTCTCTCTTCTTCCCTGTATATACTGCCATCATGTCATACATACTCTCTCTCTCTTCTTCCCTGTATATACCGCCATCATGTCATACATACTCTCTCTCCCTTCTTCCCTGTATATACTGCCATCATGTCATACATACTCTCTCTCTCTTCTTCCTTGTATATACTGCCATCATGTCATACATACTCTCTCTCTCTTCTTCCCTGTATATACTGCCATCATGTCATACATACTCTCTCTCTCCCTTCTTCCCTGTATATACCGCCATCATGTCATACATACTCTCTCTCTCTTCTTCCCTGTATATACTGCCATCATGTCACACATACTCTCTCTCTTCTTCCCTGTATATACTGCCATCATGCCATACATATTCTCTCTCTCTTCTTCCCTGTATATACTGCCATCATGTCATACATACTCTCTCTCTCTCTTCTTCCCTGTATATACTGCCATCATGTCATACATACTCTCTCTCTCCCTTCTTCCCTGTATATACTGCCATCATGTCATACATACTCTCTCTCTTCTTCCCTGTATATACTGCCATCATGTCATACATACTCTCTCTCCCTTCTTCCCTGTATATACTGCCATCATGTCATACATACTCTCTCTCTTCTTCCCTGTATATACTGCCATCATGTCATACATACTCTCTCTCTCTTCTTCCCTGTATATACTGCCATCATGTCATACATACTCTCTCTCTCTTCTTCCCTGTATATACTGCCATCATGTCACACATACTCTCTCTCTTCTTCCCTGTATATACCGCCATCATGTCATACATACTCTCTCTCTCCCTTCTTCCCTGTATATACTGCCATCATGTCATACATACTCTCTCTCTTCTTCCCTGTATATACTGCCATCATGTCATACATACTCTCTCTCCCTTCTTCCCTGTATATACTGCCATCATGTCATACATACTCTCTCTCTCTTCTTCCCTGTATATACCGCCATCATGTCATACATACTCTCTCTCTTCTTCCCTGTATATACTGCCATCATGTCATACATACTCTCTCTCTTCTTCCCTGTATATACTGCCATCATGTCATACATACTCTCTCTCTCTTCTTCCTTGTATATACTGCCATCATGTCATACATACTCTCTCTCTTCTTCCCTGTATATACTGCCATCATGTCATACATACTCTCTCTCTCTTCTTCCTTGTATATACTGCCATCATGTCATACATACTCTCTCTCTCTTCTTCCCTGTATATACTGCCATCATGTCATACATACTCTCTCTCTCTTCTTCCCTGTATATACCGCCACCATGTCATACATACTCTCTCTCTCTTCTTCCCTGTATATACTGCCATCATGTCATACATACTCTCTCTCCCTTCTTCCCTGTATATACTGCCATCATGTCATACATACTCTCTCTCTCTTCTTCCCTGTATATACTGCCATCATGTCATACATACTCTCTCCCTTCTTCCCTGTATATACTGCCATCATGTCATACATACTCTCTCTCCCTTCTTCCCTGTATATACTGCCATCATGTCATACATACTCTCTCTCTCTTCTTCCTTGTTTATACTGCCATCATGTCATACATACTCTCTCTCTCTTCTTCCCTGTATATACTGCCATCATGTCATACATACTCTCTCTCTCTTCTTCCTTGTTTATACTGCCATCATGTCATACATACTCTCTCTCTCTTCTTCCCTGTATATACTGCCATCATGTCATACATACTCTCTCTCCCTTCTTCCCTGTATATACTGCCATCATGTCATACATACTCTCTCTCTCTTCTTCCCTGTATATACTGCCATCATGTCATACATACTCTCTCCCTTCTTCCCTGTATATACTGCAGTCATGTCATACATACTCTCTGTCTCCCTTCTTCCCTGTATATACTGCCATCATGTCATACATACTCTCTCTCTCTTCTTCCTTGTTTATACTGCCATCATGTCATACATACTCTCTCTCTCCCTCTTCCCTGTATATATCGTCATACCTACACAAATTGTTGTAAATATCGTCATACTTACACGAATGTTTGTATACATCGTCATACCTACACAAATTCTTGTATATATCGTCATACCTATACAAATTGTTGTATATATCATCATACTTACACGAATTGTATATATCATCATACCTACACAAATTGTTGTATATATCATCATACTTACACCAATTGTTGTATATATCATCATTCTTACACGAATTGTATATATCGTCATACCTACACAAATCGTTGTATATATCGTCATATCTAGACAAATTGTTGTATATATCGTCACACCTACATGAATTGTTGTATATATATCCTTATACTTACATGAATGGTTGTATATATCATCATACTTACACGAATTGTATATATCGTCATACCTACACAAATTGTTGTATATATCATCATACTTACACGAATTGGTGTATATATCATCATTCTTACACGAATTGGTGTATATATCATCATTCTTACACGAATTGTATATATCGTCATATCTACACAGATTGTTGTATATATCATCATACTTACACAAATTGTATATATCGTGATACCTACACAAATTGTTGTATATATCATCATACTTACACAAATTGTTGTATATATCATCATTCTTACAAGAATTGTATATATCATCATACCTACACAAATTGTTGTATATATCATCATTCTTACACGAATTGTATATATCGTCATACCTACACAAATTGTTGTATATATCGTCACACCTACACAGATTGTTGTATATATCATCATAGTTACACGAATTGTATATATCGTGATACCTACACAAATTGTTGTATATATCATCATACTTACACGAATTGTTGTATATATCATCACTCTTACACGAATTGTATATATCGTCATACCTACACAAATTGTTGTTTATATCATCATACTTACACGAATTGTTGTATATATCATCACTCTTACACGAATTGTATATATCGTCATACCTACACAAATTGTCGTATATATCGTCACACCTACACAGATTGTTGTATATATCATCATACTTACACGAATTGTTGTATATATCATCACTCTTACACGAATTGTATATATCGTCATACCTACACAAATTGTTGTATATATCGTCACACCTACACAGATTGTTGTATATATATCATCATACTTATACGAATGGTTGTATACTCAGGTGGAATATTTCTGGACAGCTGTGTTCATGACTTGGACGCTGCATGCTGGCTGGCTGGGGAACGCCCCCTGTCTTTAGTTGCGTACGGCCACGCCCATGAAGAGATGTTTGCTGAGTGCCAGGATGTAGACATGACTTCCATCATGATCAAGTTCCCCAGCGGCGCCATAGCAACCATAGACAACTCTCGGATAGGAGCAGAGTATGGATACGACCAGAGGCTAGAGGTATGAATATAATGGTTGTCATGGAGACAGTTTAGAAAGAGATCCATGCTGATATGTCCAGAGGTTAGAGGTGTAATATAATGGTTGTCATGGAGACAGTTTAGAAAGAGATCCATGCTGATATGTCCAGAGGCTAGAGGTGTAATATAATGGTTGTCATGGAGACAGTTTAGAAAGAGATCCATGCTGATATGTCCAGAGGTTAGAGGTGTAATATAATGGTTGTCATGGAGACAGTTTAGAAAGAGATCCATGCTGATATGTCCAGAGGCTAGAGGTGTAAGATAATGGTTGTCATGGAGACAGTTTAGAAAGAGATCCATGCTGATATGTCCAGAGGCTAGAGGTATAATATGATGATTGTCATGGAGACTGTTTAGGTAGAATCTTAACTGTGAAACATCCTAAAAAAGTCTTAGAAAAATATTACAAGGTCTAGGATGTAGCAATGTAAAAAAAACCTCAGCGAGTTGCAGATTTGTTTGCACCAATAAAAAGTTATAAAAGACGAACTTTTAAACAAATACATATATTTATACTTTGAGTGTCTTCTCAAATCCACAAAGCCCTGGGAGCTGGAACTCCATGAATAAGTAAGAGGCAATGAAAGACTAACTTAATATAATGGCATGGAATCCAAAAGACAAAAATACAAATATTCTTCAATAGTGGAAAATGTGCAGGCGCCAGCTGAGAGTTTAGTATGTCAATCATGGCACTCAGATTAATAATTAAGCCTTTTTCATAAATTTCTTATATTAAACTTTTGAGAAAATTTAGTAATTTATGGAGCTGAGACTTGGTTTTGTGTAACTGGTACTATTCCCAACAGGTGCTGGGTTCTTCAGGGATGTTGAAGATTGAGAATCCTCGGACAAGCAGCGTTCAACAGTGGTGCGACGTAGGGACTGTGCTGGCGCCAATGGTTCACGACGGAATACAGCGATACCTTGCAGCGTACAAGAGTGAGATGTCCCACTTCACTGACATTGTGAAAGGTGACACCAAGTTTTAAAGGAAATCTAATGTTTACCATATGTTTTGTGAAGATTATTTTTCTATTCATGTTTGTTTGTTTAACGCCGCACTCAGCAATATTCCAGCTTTATGACGGTGGTCTGCAAATAATCAAGACTGGACCAGACAATCTAGTGATTGACATCATGAGCATCGATCCACGCAGCTGGGATCGATGACATGCATCAACCAAGTCAGAGAGCCTGACAATCCGATCCAGTTTGTCGCCTCTTACAAGCATAGTCACCTTTTACGGCAAGCATGGGTTGCTGAAGACCTATTCTACCCCGGATCTTCACGGGTCTTGACAGAACAATGAAACTCCCATCTTCCCGAGGCAAGAGAGCTAACTGACTTTAAAAGTCCAGTTTCCACACTTGCCGAACTAGGCTGGAATAACTGGGCTATTACCAGTTATGTCCCTTCTAAGCCTCTCCTATGGACCAATCAGATTCCACCTCTCGTATCACTTGCATTTGCTTCAAACAAAATGGCGGCGCCCAGCCAGAATGATCTGATCGATTATCAATATCTATATTGTGATAAAACGGGTCTTACATCGCTAAATGCATCAAATCACGTGCGCACCTTGATTAAAAACGTGAATTGGAAAATATCTGCCGACAACGAGTTGGCGGTGCACATGCTTTGCAAATCCTGCAATCGACCAAAATCTGCATGACAGTTAATGAACCGGTTTTTCGATTTCGTTGCTTGATTTTGATTGGACTATGCATAGACTCGTTAGTCCAGCCAAAATGTAACTCCATAATACCAGCGTAGTTCGGCAAGGGTGGAAACTGGACTTTTACAGTCAGTTAACTCTCTTGCCTCGGGAAGATGTGAAACTCCATGGTAACCCTATGTTCACACTTCGTGTTTACTTGTATATGTTTGAGTAAAGATAAAACTTCACTCAACTTCAGTGTGTGCATGATCAGATGGTTTAATACATGTATCCAACTAGTTTTAGCCAGGCTGCAGTAAAACGAAATCCAAGTTAGACATCTAGTACCTAACTTGACACCTATAGCGGGTACTCGGGTAGGGTCGGGTATAGGGGGTCGGGTACGCGGGTTGTAAATTTGAACTTGTCCCAGCTGATGGGCGGTTGGGTAGCCTAGTGGTTAAAGCATACACTCGTCTTGCTGAAGACCCGGGTTCGATTCCTGACATGCCGTGATATTGCTGGAACATTGTCAAACGCACTCACTCTCCCAGCTGTAATAGAACATGCCTTTTTCTTATTTAACTTTCCTTACTGAGTAGGTAAGCTGTGAAAGTCCGAGGTGAATCAGTCCTTCAACTACCAGGGTGCATTTGTGTAAATATAATTCCTTGTATACTTTTATTACTAGTGTTTCATCGTCGCCCAACCCATCCCCCCTCACTACATACAGCAGCTCAGATCATAATATACTCAGGGAAAAGGAACTGTGCTTCATATAAAGTGGTGTAAATGTTATGCTATTGAAACTAACAACATGATATTTGGTCATTCATCTGTCCAGGGATCCGGAAATATTTTTTTGCCAAGTGGACATTTGCATTTGGCCACGCCCACCTCATATCTATTGTTGAATGTTCATGCGTGAATAAAAGAATAAACTCAAGAGCCTCTTTCATAACATATATACATGATATACATATAATTTATTATCAATGCAATGACACAGATCTAATATATACAATTTCAACCTATCGTGATGTTGGTTTGACTAATTTAGCTATGGAACGGTTTCCACTGTAAAGCTGTCAGTTTTGTCTAGCCTTCCAGCATAAATTCATTTTCACAAACTCATACCTGGTATCCGGAGATAGAGCGACACGCTCTAAAGGAGGGGTGTGTAACAACTCAATCAACAATATCAGTGTCTGGTGTGACCACCATTTGCGCTGATACAAGCGAGGCAGCGGCGGAGCATTGAAGACACTGATGATTGGAAACAACCTGGGAGATGTTGTTCCAAATGTCAACCATAGATTAGCCCAACTCAGCAAGCATGAACGGCTGGTTCTGGTCATCGTTCTGCCTCATCCAAGATAGTTCAAGGGAGTACAGCAATGGTATGCTGCCTTAGAAAGTCTGTTACAATGTGTGAGAAGCGTTATCCTGCTGCAACTTTACTGAACTTTTTATGAAGCGCAGTTACTTTTTTCCCCTGTTAGAAACAAAGTACCTGCATTCAAAGTCACTTTGTGTATTCTCATCTTTTGGCCTGACATAAACTATTTTTGTCTGACCCAAGTCTGTGTGTTGCAGGTGAGAGCGAGTGTGACATGACAGCCGAGAGTGTCATCACCGTCAGCCAGATGGTGGAGCTGTGCCAGGAGTCGCTCCGGACCGGGCATTCACTGCCTCTGCCACAGCTCCAAATATAGGCTCCACAGATATACTCCCAAAATAGTCCATGAGCCATAGCTCCAAATATAGGCTCCACAGATATACTCCCAAAATAGTCCATGAGCCATAGCTCCAAATATAGGCTCCACAGATATACTCCCTAAATAGTCCATGAGCCACAGTTCCAAATATAGGCTCCACAGATATACTCCCAAAATAGTCCATTAGCCATAGCTCCAAATATAGGCTCCACAGATATACTCCCAAAATAGTCCATGAGCCATAGCTCCAAATATAGGCTCCACAGTTACTCCCAAAATAGTCCATGAGCCATAGCTCCAAATATAGGCTCCACAGATATACTCCCAAAATAGTCCATTAGCCACAGCTCCAAATATAGGCTCCACAGATATACTCCCAAAATAGTCCATGAGCCACAGCTCCAAATATAGGCTCCACAGATATACTCCCAAAATAGTCCATGAGCCATAGCTCCAAATATAGGCTCCACAGATATACTCCCAAAATAGTCCATGAGCCACAGCTCCAAATATAGGCTCCACAGATATACTCCCAAAATAGTCCATGAGCCATAGCTCCAAATATAGGCTCCACAGATATACTCCCAAAATAGTCCATTAGCCACAGCTCCAAATATAGGCTCCACAGATATACTCCCAAAATAGTCCATGAGCCACAGCTCCAAATATAGGCTACACAGATATACTCCCAAAATAGTCCATGAGCCACAGCTCCAAATATAGGCTCCACAGATATACTCCCAAAATAGTCCATGAGCCATAGCTCCAAATATAGGCTCCACAGATATACCCCCAAAATAATCCATGAGCTATAGCTCCAAATATAGGCTCCACAGATATCCTCCCAAAATAGTCCATGAGCCATAGCTCCAAATATAGGCTCCACAGATATCCTCCCAAAATAGTCCATGAGCCATAGCTCCAAATATAGGCTCCACAGATATACTCCCAAAATAGTCCATGAGCCATAGCTCCAAATATAGGCTCCACAGATATCCTCCCAAAATAATCCATGAGCCACAGCACCACACAGAGGCTCCATGTGATAAAGCTCCATGTGGTGACATATATGCTCCGAGTGTGGCCCCACGTTCATCTGCACCTTCCTCGTTACACTATTACTTCTGTTACAGGGGCGGTCGGGTAGCCTAGTGGTTAAAGCGTTCGCTCGTCATGCCGAAGACCCGGGTTCGATTCCCGACATGGGTACAATGTATGAAGCCCATTTCTGGTGTCCCCCGCCGTGATATTGCTAAAAGCGGCGTAAAACCATACTCACTCACTTCTGTTACAGTGTTGCTCGGTCCAAGTGTACTATGGGAAACAAACACCGTCGAGTTCCTTGCAGTAAACTCAATAAAAGAACAGATCCACTTCATATATGATATAAGCTTGATAGCATATCATAAATATATATTCATTTTGTCATGTCAAATGTTCTGTTCACTTTCTGATGGAGATATGTTCAATAAAATGTTAACATCATTTGTTATAACGTTATAACGTCTCTCTTTCACGGGATGTGTCAAACATGTACAGATTACATGGCACATTAATACCTGGCACAGGTAGAACAGATTCAACCCAGGACATCTCACAGCCCTAGCACAGGTAGAACAGATTCAACCCAGGACATCTCACAGCCCTAGCACAGGTAGAACAGATTCAACCCAGGACATCTCATGGCCCTAGCACAGGTAGAACAGATTCAACCCAGGACATCTCAGCCCTAGCACAGGTAGAACAGATTCAACACAGGACATCTCACAGCCCTAGCGCAGGTAGAACAGATTCAACCCAGGACATCTCAGCCCTAGCATAGGTAGAACAGATTCAACCCAGGACATCTCACAGCTCTAGCACAGGTAGAAAAGATTCAACACAGAACCAAGTTTGTATAAAAATAAGATTTATTGACAAATGCATACATGGTTCATAAATGCCAGCAAGTACGTAAGCATACAGAAACAAGGACGCCCTGTCAGGATCGTCATCAATCTAATTTTAAAAGATAGAATTAAGTTCATAAACATGTATGAGAGCTTTCTATGATACATATACTTGCAAGAAATAATAAGATATTCAAATTGACGTTGTATTGCTACAGTGGTGTACTCATAGGGTCCTCCTACAGACAACTTACATCAAGGAAATGTTCACGCCAGCAAACCTCGGACTTGAAGAAACACATGAAACAGTCAACGCAAGAAACTAAAAACCTATAAGTATATTCATACAAATATTACACATGATAAAATACCAACATCCTCATATAATAAAAAAACATTCATCTCCAAACTAAGCAGCCAATCAATAGCCGAGAACTTGACCGGTTGGTCACCTTTCAATTTGATTGGTCTGTGTACAGTATTTTGGTTTGGCCTCGAGATAAATAGTCTTGATTAACGAGGATGATACATTAGTTATCTCGTGTTATGTTGATGGAATGCTTCTGACAATCGACGGATATCCACAGATCTATAAATAGTAACTATGAAAAAACATTTCTGGAAGAGGAATATGTTGATTAACATCCTCAGCGTAACGCATTCTACACACTTGTTAGTAGAGATATGGGAGTGGTCTACAACACAGCTGACACCAGAATGAAATACTGTAAGTCTCAACTATAGTATACACTTCCACTGGTGGATAAAGTACAATATGTGAAACGGATAATCTAAAAACAATTCAAATAGATGACTTCCTAATTCTAGTCACTAACTGCCATGAACTGATTTTGTTCTTTTTGTGACTGGCCCAGATATGTTACTTGAAGAAAACTCCATCATTTGTAGGGTCAGTTTGTACAATACTACCAATAAAGTCTCCACTGTCAGGACTTGCTGTTTTTATATTAACAAGATCAGATCAGTTCATTAATAGACCAGGGCCCCGTTCCACAAAGCCATCATCGCCATAAGGTGATCGAACTCCAATACTTTAACACTGACTTACGATAGTCATAGCGCTAAGATCACTTTGTGGAACGGTGCCCAGCTCCCCTAAACTGATTTTTCCCTGATTTTGAAATAAATAAATAAATAATGAAACATGATGAGTTTAAAAAAAAAAATATCCTGACAACGCTAACATATTGATCGATTTCACCCAAAATTGGTCTGGCTGAAATAAAGGAAGCTGCGATTTCAACAGACCCCCAGTTTGTAACAGTGAGGACAACATCAGTGGAGCAGATGTCACCTGTCAAAGACTTGGTCGATAATTTGTTTGTGTCACACAGTTAGTTGTAGAGCTATACAGACGAGGCAAGCGGCCGCACGGCCAGAAAAAAATGTACACACTAGCAAAGGGACACAACTCTAAGTAAAACAAAATACATCTCACAACCATGTACACAAACTGACGGGTTCGTGAATGAGCTCAAGGACAAGCTGTGACCATTCTAAAACCAAAACACATACTTCTTTTTCAACAATAAAATTCAGGGTTTTAGGGGGAGAGTAAAAATTTAACATCATAAAGACCATATAGAGATGGGATAAAATTTGAGAAGTTAATTTAGAGAATTGTTAAAAACAAAATATACAAGTTATATTTTGAAAGAGTATCTATAAAGGATGTTTTGCAAAAGGTTTAGAACGATATTCGATATGGACAGGATTTGAAACGGAACATTCCACAAGCACAATCACCAAGTTAACAGTTAACTGCTGAGTCAGTGCTCAGTGTGGCTGGGAGATCCCCCGGGTGTGCTGGGGTTATACTGACTCAGTCTGATACAGAGGAGATCAGTCACAGGTCCACATTCTCCTTCTTGATTTGACATCTTCAAACGTTACAAGGCTCTAGATTACACATGACACTACGAATTAATACGAATACATAATCAGTAAAATGACAAAAGTAATTATTTTGATTATCTGACATGAGGACCAGTTAATGGAGTAACTCCAACTGTAACTCTGTTCTCCACTCTGGAACCAACTACTGTATACTCTGGAGAGGGGTCGGAGAGGGGTTGTGTAAATATAATTCCTTATATACTTTTATTACTAGTATTTCATCGTTGCCCAACACATCCCACCTCACTACATACAGCAGCTCAGATCATAATATACCCATGGAAAAAGTAACTGTGCTTCATATAAAGTGGTGTAAATGTTATGCTATTGAAACTAACAACATTATATTTGGTCATTCATCTGTCTAGGGATCCGGAAATATTTTTTTGCCAAGTGGACATTTGCATTTGGCCACGCCCACCTCATATCTATTGTTGAATGTTCATGTGTGAATAAAAGAATAAACTCAAGTGCCTCTTTCATAACATATATACATATAATTTATATACATATAATTCATATAAAGTGGTGTAAATGTTATGCTATTGAAACTAACAACATTATATTTGGTCATTCATCTGTCTAGGGATCCGGAAATATTTTTTGCCAAGTGGACATTTGCATTTGGCCACGCCCACCTCATATCTATTGTTGAATGTTCATGTGTGAATAAAAGAATAAACTCAAGTGCCTCTTTCATAACTTATATACATATAATTTATTATCAATGCAATGACACAGATCTAATATATACAATTTCAACCTATCGTGATGTTGGTTTGACTAATTTAGCTATGGAACGGTTTCCACTGTAAAGCTGTCGGTTTCGTCTAGCCTTCCAGCATAAATTCATTTTCACAAACTCATACCTGGTAACAGGAGATAGAGCGACACGCTCCAAAGGAGGGATGTGTAACAACTCAATTAACAATATCAGTGTCTGGTGTGACCACCATTTGCGCTGATACAAGCCAGGCAGCGGCGGCGCATTGAAGACACTGATGATTGGAAACAACCTGGGAGATGTTGTTCCAAATGTCAACCATAGATTAGCCCAACTCAGCAAGCATGAACGGCTGGTTCTGGTCATCGTTCTGCCTCATCCAAGATACTTCAAGGGAGTACAGCAATGGTATGCTGCCTTAGAAAGTCTGTTACATGTACAACGTGTGAGAAGCGTTATCCTGCTGCAACTTTACTCAACTTTTTATGCAGCGCAGTTACTTTTTTCCCCTGTAAGAAACAAAGTACCTGCATTCAAAGTCACTTTGTGTATTCTCATCTTTTGTCCCGACAGAAACTATTTTTGTCTGACCCAAGTCTGTGTGTTGCAGGTGAGAGCGAGTGTGACATGACAGCCGAGAGTGTCATCACCATCTGCCAGATAGTGGAGCTGTGCCAGGAGTCGCTCCGGACCGGGCATTCACTGCCTCTGCCACAGCTCCACATATAGGCTCCACAGATATACTCCAAAAATAATCCATTAGCCACAGTTCCAAATATAGGCTCCACAGATATACTCCAAAAATAATCCATTAGCCATAGCTCCAAATATAGGCTCCACAGATATACTCCCAAAATAGTCCATGAGCCACAGCTCCAAATATAGGCTCCACAGATATACTCCCATGTTTATATACAGCCCTAGCACAGGTAGAACAGATTCAACCCAGGACATCTCACAGCCCTGGCAGGTAGAACAGATTCAACCCAGGACATCTCACAGCCCTAGCACAGGTAGAACAGATTCAACCCAGGACATCTCACAGCCCTAGCACAGGTAGAACAGATTCAACCCAGGACATCTCACAGCCCTAGCACAGGTAGAACAGATTCAACACAGGACATCTCACAGCCCTAGCGCAGGTAGAACAGATTCAACCCAGGACATCTCAGCCCTAGCATAGGTAGAACAGATTCAACCCAGGACATCTCACAGCCCTGGCAGGTAGAACAGATTCAACCCAGGACATCTCACAGCTCTAGCACAGGTAGAAAAGATTCAACACAGAACCAAGTTTGTATAAAAATAAGATTTATTGACAAATGCATACATGGTTCATAAATGCCAGCAAGTACGTAAGCATACAGAAACAAGGACGCCCTGTCAGGATCGTCATCAATCTAATTTTAAAAGATAGAATTAAGTTCATAAACATGTATGAGAGCTTTCTATGATACATATACTTGCAAGAAATAATAAGATATTCAAATTGACGTTGTATTGCTACAGTGGTGTACTCATAGGGTCCTCCTACAGACAACTTACATCAAGGAAATGTTCACGCCAGCAAACCTCGGACTTGAAGAAACACATGAAACAGTCAACGCAAGAAACTAAAAACCTATAAGTATATTCATACAAATATTACACATGATAAAATACCAACATCCTCATATAATAAAAAAACATTCATCTCCAAACTAAGCAGCCAATCAATAGCCGAGAACTTGACCGGTTGGTCACCTTTCAATTTGATTGGTCTGTGTACAGTATTTTGGTTTGGCCTCGAGATAAATAGTCTTGATTAATGAGGATGATACATTAGTTATCTCGTGTTATGTTGATGGAATGCTTCTGACAATCGACGGATATCCACAGATCTATAAATAGTAACTATGAAAAAACATTTCTGGAAGAGGAATATGTTGATTAACATCCTCAGCGTAACGCATTCTACACACTTGTTAGTAGAGATATGGGAGTGGTCTACAACACAGCTGACACCAGAATGAAATACTGTAACTCTCAACTATAGTATACACTTCCACTGGTGGATAAAGTACAATATGTGAAACGGATAATCTAAAAACAATTCAAATAGATGACTTCCTAATTCTAGTCACTAACTGCCATGAACTGATTTTGTTCTTTTTGTGACTGGCCCAGATATGTTACTTGAAGAAAACTCCATCATTTGTAGGGTCAGTTTGTACACTACTACCAATAAAGTCTCCACTGTCAGGACTTGCTGTTTTTATATTAACAAGATCAGATCAGTTCATTAATAGACCAGGGCCCCGTTCCACAAAGCCATCATCGCCATAAGGTGATCGAACTCCAATACTTTAACACTGACTTACGATAGTCATAGCGCTAAGATCACTTTGTGGAACGGTGCCCAGCTCCCCTAAACTGATTTTTCCCTGATTTTGAAATAAATAAATAATGAAACATGATGAGTTTAAAAAAAAAAATATCCTGACAACGCTAACATATTGATCGATTTCACCCAAAATTGGTCTGGCTGAAATAAAGGAAGCTGCGATTTCAACAGACCCCCAGTTTGTAACAGTGTGGACAACATCAGTGGAGCAGATGTCACCTGTCAAAGACTTGGTCGATAATTTGTTTGTGTCACACAGTTAGTTGTAGAGCTATACAGACGAGGCAAGCGGCCGCACGGCCAGAAAAAAATGTACACACTAGCAAAGGGACACAACTCTAAGTAAAACAAAATACATCTCACAACCATGTACACAAACTGACGGGTTCGTGAATGAGCTCAAGGACAAGCTGTGACCATTCTAAAACCAAAACACATACTTCTTTTTCAATAATAAAATTCAGGGTTTTAGGGGGAGAGTAAAAATTTAACATCATAAAGACCATATAGAGATGAGATAAAATTTGAGAAGTTAATTTAGAGAATTGTTAAAAACAAAATATACAAGTTATATTTCGAAAGAGTATCTATAAAGGATGTTTTGCAAAAGGCTTAGAACGATATTCGATAAGGACAAGATTTGAACATTCCACAAGCACAATCACCAAGTTAACAGTTAACTGCTGAGTCAGTGCTAAGTGTGGCTGGGAGATCCCCCAGGTGTGCTGGGGTTATACTGACTCAGTCTGATACAGAGGAGATCAGTCACAGGTCCACATTCTCCTTCTTGATTCGACATCTTCAAACGTTACAAGGCTCTAGATTACACATGACACTACGAATTAATACGAATACATAATCAGTAAAATGACAAAAGTAATTATTTTGATTATCTGACATGAGGACCAGTTAATGGAGTAACTCCAACTGTAACTCTGTTCTCCACTCTGGAACCAACTACTGTATACTCTGGAGGGGGGGCGGTGTAGTTTCTAAAAAAATGATTAGTCACAAGGAATACTGGCAAAAAATAATTTGGCTAAGTTTAAAAAAAAAGAAGTTTTCTGAACATACTTCATTTCTGAAAAAAAAGGTGTAAAAATGTTTTGGCTCTTCTTTCTGTCTCGTAATCAAAATGTCCACACACCCACCACCCCCCTAAATATAAAATGGTTGGATCCTTAGTCGTTTCATGTTCCCATCATTCTCACTTCTGAAATTCACAAATAGATGATGTCTACAAAGGATACATATGTACAGGTTTCATACCACGATTAAGAATGATGTGCAAAGTTTGCAAAACTATCAGCCGGGCTCAGAAACACACTGAACTAAAACCTTGACCTCAAACTGCCCATGACAGGATTTCTGTATGCTCATTAAGGGCTGGTAAGGCTAAAAGAAAGGCCCCTATCACTGGCAATGCAGTAAGTTGGTAAATGCCTTGGTACATTTTGGTGCGAGAATTTCTGAAACTGTTGAACTGAGCAGTCTGAGGTCAAGGTCACTACAAGCTAACTAGACACGGATACTATGCTAAGCTGTACATGTGGAGAGCATATCTCAAGCGAGCCACTCGTGAAAGGCAGCACAAGAATACAAAATACAAATAAGGTCAAGGTCAAGGTCAAGACATTGGCAGGAGAGATGCAGCTGAGGCCTCTGGAAGCACCATCGTCGTCGTTGTGCTCATGAAAAGGCCCCAAAATTCAGATCTGCAGACTATAGTTGGACCGAGACCTGCACTTTTGGGCTTGTCATGGTTACTGCAGCACACAAGCACCAAGACTCCTAAACCAAAGGAGCTCCTACACAGCCCACAAGAACTCCGTGATCTGCAACCCACGGGATGAAAACGCCACAACAGCATCTTGAGCAGGGTTGAACTGTATGTCATTGAGTGAGATCACAATAGTAAATGAATTGTTTCAAATATGCCAGAATAAATGAATGAATGTGTTGCGCTGAGTCAGCAATACTCCAGCTACATCATGGCGTCTGTAAACAATCAAGTCCGAACAAGCCAAACCTGACTAACAGGAGAATGTCAACATCACAGGTCAAATCCTTCTGTAACTGTGGAAGGACTACATTCTGCGGTTCAGTAACATGGCCAGACTTGATGCACTGTAGAAAATGCACGGAAGATTGACAACAGGACATCATGTCCACCTTGACCAGAAGGGCTACATTTAATACTACTGATCCTCTTCTTAGGGCTGCTGTTGGTATTACAAGAGGACATCGCGTCCACCAGAAGAGCTAAATCCAATGCCAAAGCTCCCTTCCTACAGAGCTGAAGGAGTATTACAAGAGGACATCGTGTCCACCAGAAGAGCTAAATCCAATGCCAAAGCTCCCTTCCTACAGAGCTGAAGTAAGTTTTACAAGAGGACATCGCATCCACCAGAAGAGCTAAATCCAATGCCAAAGCTCCCTTCCTACAGAGCTGAAGTAAGTATTACAAGAGGACATCGCATCCACCAGAAGAGCTAAATCCAATGCCACAGCTCCCTTCTATAGGGCTGCTGTAAGTATTACATGAGGACATCGTGTCTACAAGACTGTTACTGCTCCCCTTCAATAGGGCTGCTGTAAGTATTACACAAGGACATCGTGTCTACAAGACTGCTACTGCTCCCCTTCAATAGGGCTGCTGTAAGTATTACATGAGGACATCGTGTCTACAAGACTGCTACTGCTCCCCTTCAATAGGGCTGCTGTAAGTATTACACGAGGACATCGTGTCTACAAGACTGCTACTGCTCCATTCAATAGGGCCGCTGTAAGTATTACACGAGGACATCGTGTCTACAAGACTGCTACTGCTCCTGCAGTGTATTAAAGCCAGGGAACAGAGGCCACAGCTGCTCCCTACCTCTCCCGCCTCTGTCTGAATCCTCTATATACAGCACCCCAAACACCCGCACTATAATGAGGTGACCCTGCACAAATGGGCATCAGGATGGGGAGATGACTTTCACTGCTTCACACGAATCAATGAGTTAAGTTAAGTTTTTCATTGGAAATAAAACCAGACCCTTGTTGTGATCAAACACATGAACTATAGGGCTATCACAATAAATATTGTAACTGTAGGATCTCCTAGAAAAGATACAAGTTCATGAAGAAACATTGCTTTCTGGTATCATATCAACAGGAAGGCAAATTTTTATCTTAAAATTCAACAAAATGGACAATTCTGGCTCCCTCATCCTGCTCTGCCCACATGTTACAAGGGGTCCTCTACATTGGGAAACTCATAATAAATAAACAACAGGAATGCAAGGAATCAGCTCCATGGACGCCACGCGCACCTACGTCTAGCACCTCCGTCTAGCACGTTGAGGAATGGATGGGACACTCAGATCTACACACAGTGGGAGATATTTACAGTGCAGGTGCGGTATAACACAGAATCATGGAATATGTCTCATACACACACGCTACTACATACTACTTGTCTTGCTACTAATTATAGCTGCAGTGATGTTTTTATGGCTCATTATAATGTTCTGTTGGTGTAAAATCATTTATAATATCACACTTATCAAAAAAAGCATGCAATTATTATTTTCATTAAGAATGAATTTTTACTGATTTTGATGACACTGAAAAGACTATGAAAAACACATGCAATGTCCAGCCTAAACACTGGTACATGTAATAGGTATATATAGATTTAGATAGAGGCGACAGGTAAGTATATGACAATTACAGGTATATCATGTTAACATGAGCATGCAAAGAGCACAAGATGTCTACATCACAACAGGTGCTACATGGTAAAAACATCTCTATGTCCAAATCCTACAAATGATGTTGTGGAGGTAGTGACATGTATACCTGATGATGCTGTCACTTCTGAGATGTAACTGTTGATGCAGGTACCACTGTCATGTACCGTCAAGTACCCAGGTGTGGGACGATACTGTCATGTACCGTCAAGTACCCGAGGTATGGCATAGTACTCGAGGTGTGGCACAGTACCCAGGTGTGGCACGATACTGTCATGTACCACCAAGTACCCAAGATATGGCATAGTACTCGAGGTGTGGCACAGTACCCAGGTGTGGCACGATACTGTCATGTACCATTAGGTACCCAAGGTATGGCATAGTACTCGAGGTGTGGCACGATACCATCATGTACCTTGATATATCCTGTGACAGGTGGGGGAACTGTTTTTAGCTAATATTTACACCATGTTGGGATTCAAACCAAGACAATCAACATGGCAAACCTTCACACCAATGGGCAAGTGAGTGAGATTTTACCCAAATATTAACAATCTTCCAGTACTACCACAGCAATGACACCAAACCTGGGCATCACAAACAGCACCCATGTGGGGGAATGGAACCAGGTCTAGAGTGTGACGAGCCAAGACCATACCCATTAGGCTACCTCACTGCCAACCATTGATTCTGCCGAGTTCAGACCCGTTAAAACATGGAGTCCTACCCAGGTTCACAGGTTGCTGCAAGTACAGCTTTCAATAACCTCAAAGGTACAAGATGTGGGAAGTGCCACGGTACACTTCTGTGGGATGTACCACGGTACACTTCTGTGGTACCTACTCTCAACCACCCCAAAAGAAATCCATGGATGGTCATGGCTGATGTATTGCTTCATAATAAATCATTATTTTCAATCCATTCACTTTCACATAAATTCATCACTCCTTTCCATGTCAATCTGAACTTGCAGTGGCTGGGAACATTTGGTGACATAACAGTACATGATACATCCAAGAAATTCAACCTGTGATCTAGTTCGTAGAATCTTAAGGGATGACGTCAGCCTTTCTGGAATAGTCTTCTGACAGTCAGGCTCAGACACAATTACTGTAGTTGTCGTATTTAGCACCTGGGCTACTGCTAAAGAGCCACAATGCAAAAGCAACAGAAATAACATCAGTTTCAAGTAGGAAATATCAACATAAAGAAAAATGTGTCATTTTTGAAATTCCACTCCAGAATTTGGTAAAATAATCATAATCTTCCACCGAATCCTTTAAGTAATGTCAGAAAGACTGTTTTTGTCACTTGGAGGGGATAAGTTCTTGTGAGAAGGGAGAATACTCTATGGGTATTTGCTCATCATGGTGCTAAATACGTCAAACAGGGTGAACAAGTGCATTGCCTGACCTGGGAGTTGTTCATGGTTTGGATGATCAAATAAAGAAAAATTGAAAAGATAATTAAGTTTTATGAATGCTCGAGGCCTGGGTTAATCTGGTACCGAGTCCTGCAATGCATCTATGAGCAATGATGTGAAAGATTTCCAACTACAACGCCAACACATCTATGTCTGGTTACCATGGTTACAAAGGAATGATGGGAGGACACCATGAAGTCTTATATACATTTGTTCTGTCAGCTAAACACTCAGATAAGATGGCAGAGATTGAAAGAAGGACTTGTTCAGTGCATGGTAGGGTCAGTCACCATTAACTTACATCAACATACAGGCTTTAAAATACATTTAAAGGAGGACCTGTGATAGCTAGTGCAGTCAGCATTAGAAAATTCAACTTATTAATGAATATGATATGAATCAGAGGTAAGGTGTTCGTTAACAAGACAATGTTGAATTCAACTGTGGTATAAACACAACCTGCAGACTGCTTTCTTGTTTCCCTGAGTGGGAGAGTAGGGTGTTTATGATTGAGTGAGTGAGTGACGGGTTTAACGCCCCTTTTAACAGTTTGCAGTTTTATCACGGCATGTCAGCTTAATGTGGAAGGAAAACCCGAAGTGATGCAGGTCTCAGATGTTTACCACTTCGGTGAAACCCACGAGCACGGGTATGGTGCTGACAAACCTAGAAACATAATCGTGGCAAACCGGAATTGAAACCCACAATCATAGGTTTCTGGCGTGCCCAAGGGACGCAACTCTGCACAGCGAATCGTGGCGCCTTAGACAACTTGGCCACCCGTGCCCCTAGGAGTTTGTGCCACTTACATCATAGGGGGAAAGCCAAGACTCGTTTTAACCACCAGACCACCCTCATAATGTTCCAGTAGACAGACACCCCATGGTAGCTGCCACGACAAGTCCTCCTTTAAATGAACAAGCAAGATTGCAAGGCTATGTACAGCAAGACAGCAACAGAAATAATGCCCAGGGTGAAAGATGCCATATTGCTAACTTCAGCCCACATTTACGGTACATCACTGATTATTGCAAATCATCTCAATATGTAATTTTGGCCACAGCAACAGGTTCTGCTTGAACTGCTGCGTCCAAGCCACACTGCATGTCAACCTGTCAGACTTCCAACCAGATTACCCATTGTAAGCAGGATACATTTTGCCACATTTTGCCACATTTCACATTCTCATCTTACATTCTTATCACCATGTATCATTTAACATCTAAACATACTAAATTCCACTAAATCATTTCCTTGAATCTTTTTTTGAACTTTGAACTTTTGAACTCCAAATGATTAATACATAAACATTAAACGAAAACAGTATTTACAAATTGAAATATATTCTAAAGTTTTCAACTGAAGTGTGACACACTGGCTGACATGTTCACGCATCATTCCACACTAACATCACCATGTAATACAAGTACGCTCATAAATATAAAAAGTAACAAATATCTACATCCGGTATTATAAAACACTTCAATGCACACCATAAGCATATATGCATCATTCAAAATAATATCATAGTACAAACTGCTGTACCAAGCCCCTAGTTCTATAAACTAACCCTCAACATGGGATGAGGTGGTCAGTCCCTTCCTCCTGTTCAACTTCACAGATCAATACATTATCATTATCCATCAACCCATACAATTCTCTGAACTGTTTCGGCAAAAAATCAACAAGACGTAAAATATCCCCACAAAATCCAAAGTCGTTAAAACATAGTTATTAAACATTTTTATAAAGTTGCTGAGCATATATTTGATTATTCTTGTTCCCTTAATCACCAACATTGATATTCCTCATTACATGACACAGCATAAAGGTTTTCCAAATCCCTAGTACCCTGCTTGAGCTATAAGCTAACGCTGAAGATGACAGCACTCTATTGAATACATTAAGTGCCCTGATAAAATAAAAGGCTCCAACGTTTTTTAAAACAAAATTAATTACTTTATTACTGCCCTACTTTGGACAAGTTTGGCATGGAACTCCTTTGACCAAAGAACAGATTTCAGATACACACTGTACCCCCTCCCCCCGGAGTCTCTTAGTCACAGACCCTCATTATGAATGGCGCCATTGGACAACCAAGAGAGCTACCATTAAACCAATACTGTCTCATTTCTTAAGAAGCCTTGGCAACATTTTACATAGCTTGTAGCTTAATATGTCAAATATGGCATATTTATAATCACTTACAAAAAATATGCATTCAAGCAGCACAAATGCTTTTAAGCAGAATATACATAGAATCATTTACTAGGAACTGATCTTTGCATTCTTCAGAGCAATGTGTGCTAATTCTTACACAGTTAAATGCATAAATACTGCTCTACTGGTTAACCTACAGGAACCATACAGATATTGAAAGACTACACAAAGGCACAGTCATGAAGAGTGAACAAATTGCATGTACATAGTTAGTATTCAAGAATGTAGTTTCTCTAGGAAACCAATTTGATCCAACTGATCTGATTCAAAACTTCATTAATCACAAATATTGTCTCTCGGTGGAACATTTAAATTGCTTGGGGATGTTTTGGTGTTCTTAAAAAATTATTTTTCTGACTTGATGTAAGTAACTTCTTCTTTTGTACTGGGGTCAAATCTTGCTGCAAAAAGTAGGGTAAAACCCCCCACATCAGATGTGTAAAAATGCCTTATCACTATATCAAAATGCATCTTCTAATTTTATTGTCAACAAACAATAATGGTCCATGTACAGTTGATATCAAAGAGAGGCTGTTCCATTCAAAGAGAGGCTGATCCATTCCAACATGGCTGACCCAAGCCTTGCAGCTCAGGAATCAAGGCTACTCCGGTAAACTAAACAAGTAAATAAGTCCACATTCCAAAAGACATTTCAAGCACTTTCATATCCCACACAGAATCCATACACATTACTCGTCAATAGATCTCAATGTCAAGCACTACATGGGGTCACTGACTGGCCCCTTGAAACCCTAGACCCACATCCGTGCCCAAGGAAATTGAGCCCCTTGAAACCCTAGACTCACATCCGTGCCCAAGGAAACTGAGCCCCTTGAAACCCTAGACTCACATCCGTGCCCAAGGAAACTGAGCCCCTTGAAACCCTAGACCCACATCTGTGCCCAAGGAAACTGAGCCCCTTGAAACCCTAAACTCACATCTGTGCCCAAGGAAACTGAGCCCCTTGAAACCCTAAACTCACATCTGTGCCCAAGGAAACTGAGCCCCTTGAAACCCTAGACCCACATCTGTGCCCAAGCAAACTGAGCCCCTTGAAACCCTAGACCCACATCTGTGCCCAAGGAAACTGAGCCCCTTGAAACCCTAGATCCACATCTGTGCCCAAGGAAATTGAGCCCCTTGAAACCCTAAACGCACATCTGTGCTCAAGGAAACTGAGCCCCTTGAAACCCTAAACTCACATCTGTGCCCAAGGAAACTGAGCCCCTTGAAACCCCAAGCCCAAATTCATGACCAAGGAAAAATCCATACTCAAGGAATCCCAACAACTGCGATGAAATTGTTGGTGAGCACCCAGGTTTCATAACAAGTGCCAAGTACAGCTGAAGCTGTATGTACTCCACCGTGACGAGGGCTGGTGGTTCTGGTAATACTGTAACACACTTACTAGAACTGTAACGATACACTCTGTAGCCATACCATTCACACCCTAACACTTCGATGGAGAGAGTTCATACAAGAAAACTCCACATTTACCTGTTTAAGGAAACATTTTCATCATTAAAGGTAACTAATAGAAGCCCAAATAATTTTACATTCAGTAGATCTGAGTCAATTCATTAAAGACTTGCTTGAGACCTCTTGTTCATGTTAACAGAAACTGATATTTTACGATGGATATTCATACCATCTAACATGTCCCCCTTATGGACTTGTGTTGTTTTGTAGCAATAGGTGATCAACTGATACAATATTCACAGCATTCCACCGAGTATCGCCATACACGAAATGTTCAGTGAATCGTTACATCCCTAGTCTGTTCCTTCATCACGGCTCGTCTTCCTGGTCCAGGCGTTGTGTCAATCACTGTTCTTCCTCGTCCATGTCCTTCTGTTTCTTCACCTCTCCCTGGTAGGTCACCATGTCCTCCGGCTTCTTCCTCTTGAAGAACCCCAGCTGGAACACACGAGGCAGTGTGTGAGTCACAGGGCAGGGAGGGTGGAACACACGACGAGGCAGTGTGTGTGTTACAGGGCAGGGAGGGTGGAACACACGACGAGGCAGTGTGTGAGTCACAGGGTAGGGAGGGGGGAACACACGAGGCAGTGTGTGAGTTACAGGGCAGGGAGGGAGGAACACACGAGGCAGTGTGTGAGTTACAGAGCAGGGAGGGGGAACACACGAGGCAGTGTGTGAGTTACAGGGCATGGAGGGTGGAACACACGACGAGGCAGTGTGTGAGTTACAGGGCAGGGAGGGTGGAACACACGACGAGGCAGTGTGTGAGTTACAGGGCAGGGAGGGGGGAACACACGAGGCAGTGTGTGAGTTACAGGGCATGGAGGGTGGAACACACGAGGCAGTGTGTGAGTTACAGGGCAGGGAGGGGGGAACACACGACGAGGCAGTGTGTGAGTTACAGGGCATGGAGGGTGGAACACACGACGAGGCAGTGTGTGAGTTACAGGGCAGGGAGGGTGGAACACACGACGAGGCAGTGTGTGAGTTACAGGGCAGGGAGGGTGGAACACACGACGAGGCAGTGTGTGAGTTACAGGGCAGGGAGGGTGGAACACACGAGGCAGTGTGTGAGTTACAGGGCAGGGAGGGGGGAACACACGACGAGGCAGTTTGTGAGTTACAGGGCAGGGTAGGGGGAACACACGACGAGGCAGTGTGTGAGTCACAGGGCAGGGAGGGTGGAACACACGACGAGGCAGTGTGTGAGTTACAGGGCAGGGAGGGGGGAACACACGACGAGGCAGTGTGTGAGTTACAGGGCAGGGAGGGGGGAACACACGTGGCAGTGTGTGAGTTACAGGGCAGGGAGGGTGGAACACACGACGAGGCAGTGTGTGAGTTACAGGGCAGGGAGGGGGGAACATGAGGCAGTGTGTGAGTTACAGGGCAGGGAGGGTGGAACACACGACGAGGCAGTGTGTGAGTTACAGGGCAGGGAGGGGGGAACACGAGGCAGTGTGTGAGTTACAGGGCAGGGAGGGGGGAACACGAGGCAGTGTGTGAGTTACAGGGCAGGGAAGGGGGAACACACGAGGCAGTGTGTGAGTTACAGGGCAGGGAGGGTGGAACACACGAGGCAGTGTGTGAGTTACAGGGCAGGGAAGGGGGAACACACGACGAGGCAGTGTGTGAGGATGGATGGAGGGTGGGAGGGAGGGGGGAAGGATGGAAGGATGGAGGGAGGGAGGGATGGATGGAGGGATGGATGGAGGGTGGGAAGGAGGGAGGGAGGGAAGGAGGGAAGGATGGAGGGAGGGAGGGTGGGAGGGAGGGAGGGAGGGAGGGAGGGAGGGATGAAGGGTGGGAGGGAGGGAAGGATGGATTGAGGGTGGGAGGGAAGGATGGATGGAGGGTGGGAGGGAAGGTTGGATGGAGGGAGGAAAGGGGACAGAAGGTGAGGTGAGATGAAATGGGGTCTAACGTTGTGTCCAAGATTATTGCACTCACATAGCGACGTGCATGTTTGTGAGTGTTTGTGTGTGTGGCTCCTTTTACTAGTCTGGAATGATGCCGATTTTATAGTGCTATCACAATGAAATACCATGCCTTGTTTAACATGAATACCCCACTCAGACCAAGTATACTGACTCCGAGCAGACCAGTCCTTGTTTTAGCCCCTTAATGCCGAGTACCAGACAGGGTAACTACAAGTACAATCTTTTAACATTTTTGGGTATGACACAGCCGGGGATTGAACCCTGGAACTTCCGCTCTCCGGGCGGACGCTTTACCACTAGACCACAGAGGCGGTCGATTGATGTATGGGCAGAGTGAAGGAGGGAGGGGTGGACGCTTTACCACTAGACCACAGAGGTGGTCCATTGATGGAAAGGCAGAGTGAAGGAAGGAGGGGCGGACGCTTTACCACTAGACCACGGAGGAGGTCAATTGATGGGAGGGCAGAGTGAAGGAGGGAGGGGCGGATGTATGGATGAAGGGCAGAGGGAGTCAGAGAGGGACAGGGGGCCAAGGGATGGAAGGATGGAGGAGGGTGTGATGCCACATTCAGCGATCAGAGATATGGTTATTACCTTCCACAGCAGCAGAATGAGTCCCGCTAACAGGATGATTCCTGCTAACACAGCCACCACGATGATCCACCACTCCAGGCCAACCGTCTTCTGCTCCTTCACATCTGGGATAGCTATGGTGGTAGCCTATGGACACAATACAGAATAGCTATAGTGGTAGCCTATGGACACAATACAGGATAGCTATAGTGGTAGCCTAAGGACACAATACAGGATAGCTATGGTGGTAGCATGTGGACACAATACGGGAAGGCTATAGTGGTAGCCTAAGGACACAATACAGAATAGCTAAAATAGTAGCCTGTGGACACAATACAGAATAGCTATAGTGGTAGCCAATGGACACAATACAGAATAGCTATAGTAGAAGCCTATGGACACAAGACAGGATAGCTATAGTAGAAGCCTATGGACACAATACAGAATAGCTATGGTGGTAGCCTGTGGACACAATACAGGATAGCTATAGTGGTAGCCTATGGACACAATACAGAATAGCTATAGTGGTAGCCTATGGACACAATACAGAATAGCTATAGTGGTAGCCTATGGACATAATACAGAATAGCTATAGTGGTGGCCTGTGGACACAATACAGAATAGCTATAGTGGTATCCTGTGGACACAATACAGAATAGCTATAGTGGGAGCCTATGGACAAAATTGTGGTATTGTTCCTTGACTCTGAATGAACATAATCCTTAAAAAAATAAAGAATGATAGCTTTACTTAATAAATGCAATGTTAATTCAAGACAACATTTCCTGAGTACTTACATAGTTCTCATTGGTGGTTTCCTTGGACTCGATGTTGAGTGCCGGATCTATGTACAGCTCTGCCTTGGACCGGATCTTCACCTCCCCAACGTTCATATAGTCCTGCATCACGCACAATGTCATACGTCAATTGGAAATACAGTCATACCCCACATGGGGAACACACAGTCATAACACATACAATGTCATACGTCAATTGGAAATACAGTCATATCCCACATAGGGAATACACAGTCATATCACATACAATGTCATACGTCACTTGGAAATACAGTCATACCCCACATTGGGAACACACAGTCATAACACATACAATGTCATACGTCACTTGGAAATACAGTCATACCCTGCATAGGGAATACACAGTCATATCACACACAACGTCATACGTCACTTGGAAATACAGTCATACCCCACATTGTCATATCACATTGGGAATTCATTTCATCCAAAACAAACAACACTGACCACAAGCAGCCCTTCCTCCTGATCTTTATCTCTCCCTCCGTGTCTTTCCTCCACCAGCCCTCCCCCAACACAGCTGTCCCTCCCCCCGACACTGTTGTTCTTCTCACCACCCCCCCGCCATCTCTCTTACTGTGTCCCCTCTTTCTAAGGATCTACACATATCCAGCCCTCCCAGGACTCCGCTGTCCCTCTTCCCCCTGCCATGTCTCTCACTGTGTCCCCTCTTTCTAAGGATGTACACGTGTCCAGCCCTCCCCCAACACCGCTGTCCCTCTTCCCCCTGCCATGTCTCTCACTGTGTCCCCTCTTTCTAAGGATGTACACGTGTCCAGCCCTCCCCCAACACCGCTGTCCCTCTTCCCCCTGCCATGTCTCTCACTGTGTCCCCTCTTTCTAAGTATGTACACGTGTCCAGCCCTCCCCCAACACCGCTGCCATGTCTCTCACTGTGTCCCCCCTTTCTAAGGATGTACACGTGTCCAGCCCTCCCCCAACACCGCTGTCCCTCTTCCCCCTGCCATGTCTCTCACTGTGTCCCCTCTTTCTAAGGATGTACACGTGTCCAGCCCTCCCCCAACACCGCTGTCCCTCTTCCCCCTGCCATGTCTCTCACTGTGTCCCCTCTTTCTAAGGATGTACACGTGTCCAGCCCTCCCCCAACACTGCTGTCCCTCTTCCCCCTGCCATGTCTCTCACTGTGTCCCCTCTTTCTAAGTATGTACACGTGTCCAGCCCTCCCCCAACACCGCTGCCATGTCTCTCACTGTGTCCCCCCTTTCTAAGGATGTACACGTGTCCAGCCCTCCCCCAACACCGCTGTCCCTCTTCCCCCTGCCATGTCTCTCACTGTGTCCCCTCTTTCTAAGGATGTACACGTGTCCAGCCCTCCCCCAACACCGCTGTCCCTCTTCCCCCTGCCATGTCTCTCACTGTGACCCCTCTTTCTAAGGATGTACACGTGTCCAGCCCTCCCCCAACACCGCTGTCCCTCTTCCCCCTGCCATGTCTCTCACTGTGTCCCCTCTTTCTAAGGATGTACACGTGTCCAGCCCTCCCCCAACACCGCTGTCCCTCTTCCCCCTGCCATGTCTCTCACTCTGTCCCCTCTTTCTAAGGATGTACACGTGTCCAGCCCTCCCCCAACACCACTGTCCCTCTTCCCCCTGCCATGTCTCTCACTGTGTCCCCTCTTTCTAAGGATGTACACGTGTCCAGCCCTCCCCCAACACCGCTGTCCCTCTTCCCCCTGCCATGTCTCTCACTGTGTCCCCTCTTTCTAAGGATGTACACGTGTCCAGCCCTCCCCCAACACCGCTGCCATGTCTCTCACTGTGTCCCCTCTTTCTAAGGATGTACACGTGTCCAGCCCTCCCCCAACACCGCTGTCCCTCTTCCCCCTGCCATGTCTCTCACTGTGTCCCCTCTTTCTAAGGATGTACACGTGTCCAGCCCTCCCCCAACACCGCTGTCCCTCTTCCCCCTGCCATGTCTCTCACTCTGTCCCCTCTTTCTAAGGATGTACACGTGTCCAGCCCTCCCCCAACACCACTGTCCCTCTTCCCCCTGCCATGTCTCTCACTGTGTCCCCTCTTTCTAAGGATGTACACGTGTCCAGCCCTCCCCCAACACCGCTGTCCCTCTTCCCCCTGCCATGTCTCTCACTGTGACCCCTCTTTCTAAGGATGTACACGTGTCCAGCCCTCCCCAAACACCGCTGTCCCTCTTCCCCCTGCCATGTCTCTCACTGTGTCCCCTCTTTCTAAGGATGTACACGTGTCCAGCCCTCCCCCAACACTGCTGTCCCTCTTCCCCCTGCCATGTCTCTCACTGTGTCCCCTCTTTCTAAGGATGTACACGTGTCCAGCCCTCCCCCAACACTGCTGTCCCTCTTCCCCCTGCCATGTCTCTCACTGTGTCCCCTCTTTCTAAGGATGTACATGTGTCCAGCCCTCACCTGGAGTAGAGTGCTCTCCCATAGCCGGGCCCGGATCTTGATCTGCACGTACATGTTCCTCCCCATCTCCCCGATGTTGCACTTGATCTTGTGGCATTTCGCAGTTTTACGCCGACAGTCCTGGTAAAACAGATACAATAAGAAACTGTTTTATTTTTTTCAGTTACATGTATTTGGTATTACAGATGATTAAAATCAAAAAACCAAAATTCACCTTTGTAATCTCCACTCCCTGAGAAGTATCCTAACTCAATCTTTCATTCAGTTGCTATCATAATGAAGCACTGACAGGCATTTATCACTATGATGGTGATGATGTACGCATCCCCACATCAAAGGGCCCTGTTCCACACCATCTCTAAGCACTGTGACTGTCATAAGTCATAACAATATTGCAGTTATGACAATCGTAAGTCTTTTTCAGAGTATTGTAATTACGACAAAATAAATCAATGACAATCGTAGGTCTATTTCAGAGTATTGTGATTATGACGAAAGTAAACCTAAGACAATCGTAAGTCTATTTCAGAGTATTGTAATTACAACAAAAATAAATCAACAACAATCCTAAGTCTATTTCAGAGTATTGCAATTACGACAAAAGTAAATCTATGACAATCGTAAGTCTATTTCAGAGTATTGTAATTAAAAAATAAAATAAATCAATGACAATCGTAAGTCTATTTCACAGTATTGTAATTAAAAAATAAAATAAATCTATGACAATTTTAAGTCTTTGACTATTGAAAGTCTATGTAAGAGTATAGTAGTTGTTGGGTTCTTGGTGTAACCTACCAAGACGACATCTCGTCGATTGTCATTCCTCTTTGTCCGCGACTCCCCTGTTGACGCCCGACGTCTCCGACTGGGGGCAGCATCAGGGCTGAGAGCGGGGGCCGGGATGGCCGCTGTCCGGGACTAGAAACATGCCATGTGTTAGACATCATGAACATCATTGTCTCGTATGGCAAAACAAAGTATGCAGTATACTATTTACAACAATATGTTACAATTTGTTATTTTGTTTGTGACCAAGCATGCTGGGAAGGTTAGTGGTGATTTCCTCTAGTTACTGTACGACTACCGTGCAAGTTATACTGCAAACATGTGACTGGAAACATTATCTAAGACGTGACATGTTTAATGTCTAATGCTCCTTTCAGCAATATTCCAGCACTGTGGGGGACATAAAGACTGAGCTCCATGAGACCTATGTCAGTAATCCAACATGGGATTTGGTTTGATAAAACGATAGACCATTGAATGAATCCAAGAACTTAGGACTTAACTGAGAAGCTAGACATACAAGACAAGTGTGTACACTGCTTTTAGCTTTCATTGTTATGTACTGCTGCATTTAGCCGACATTTACGACAACACACAATCAACCAAGTCTCCCAGTCCTATCCCCCATCACTTGATTGCTGGAGACCGTTGAGTACGACAACACACAATCAACAAAGTCTCAGAGTCCTATCCCCCATCCACTTGATGGCTGGAGACCACTGAGTACGACAACACACAATCAACCAAGTCTCAGAGTCCTATCCCCCATCACTTGATTGCTGGAGACCGTTGAGTACGACAACACACAATCAACCAAGTCTCCCAGTCCTATCCCCCATCACTTGATGGCTGGAGACCACTGAGTACGACAACACACAATCAACCAAGTCTCCCAGTCCTATCCCCCATCCACTTGATTGCTGGAGACCGTTGAGTACGACAACACACAATCAACCAAGTCTCAGAGTCCTATCCCCCATCACTTGATTGCTGGAGACCGTTGAGTACGACAACACACAATCAACCAAGTCTCCCAGTCCTATCCCCCATCACTTGATGGCTGGAGACCATTGAGTACGACAACACACAATCAACCAAGTCTCCCAGTCCTATTCCCCATCCACTTGATTGCTGGAGACCGTTGAGTACGACAACACACAATCAACCAAGTCTCCCAGTCCTATCCCCCATCCACTTGATTGCTGGAGACCATTGAGTACGACAACACACAATCAACCAAGTCTCCCAGTCCTATCCCCCATCCACTTGATGGCTGGAGACCGTTGAGTACGACAACAAAGGATGACATGGACAGGGCACCACAATAAAGGATGATATGGACAGGGCACCACAATAAAGGATGACATGGACAGGGCACCACAATAAAGGATGACATGGACAGGGCACCACAATAAAGGATGACATGGACAGGGCACCACAATAAAGGATGACATGGACAGGGCACCACAATAAAGGATAACATGGAGAGGCACCACAATAAAGGATGACATGGACAGGGCACCACAATAAAGGATGACATGGAGAGGCACCACAATAAAGGATAACATGGACAGGCCACAACAATAAAGGATGACATGGACAGGGCACCACAATAAAGGATAACATGGACAGGGCACCACAATAAAGGATGACATGGACAGGGCACCACAATAAAGGATGACATGGACAGGGCACCACAATAAAGGATGACATGGACAGGCCACCACAATAAAGGATGACATGGACAGGGCACCACAATAAAGGATGACATGGACAAAGCACCACAATAAAGGATAACACGGACAGGGCACCACAATAAAGGATACATGGACAGGGCACCACAATAAAGGATAACATTGACAGGGCACCACAATAAAGGATGACATGGACAGGGCACCACAATAAAGGATACATGGACAGGGCACCACAATAAAGGATACATGGACAGGGCACCACAATAAAGGATGACATGGACAGGGCACCACAATAAAGGATAACATGGACAGGGCACCACAATAAAGGATGACATGGACAGAGCACCACAATAAAGGATAACACGGACAGGGCACCACAATAAAGGATGACATGGACAGGGCACCACAATAAAGGATACATGGACAGGGCACCACAATAAAGGATGACATGGATACCTACCTACAAAAGATAACATGGATGAGATTCCCACCAATAAAGCATAACACTATTCCAAAATCAACATACAACATCAACCGTTTGTGGATCACATACAACCACAGAAATACACAACCATAGACAAAAAATAATTGCAACATAAGCAAAATAAAGAGGAAACTTGCCCAAGGCAATCCTGCACATAGTATTGCGCTACATAAACTGATGCTTAGCAGGGCAAACCATACTCAATCCAATTAATGAAATAAAAACTTATATAAATGGCATAAAATGATAAGTCAGTTGAAGCACTTACATTCCGTGCCGGTTGGCGGATGTTAAAATCTGGGTTAACCTGGAAGTACATTCAAAGTCACAAGTCACACACAGCAAACGTTGCAGCCTCCTTGGCGTGAAGCAGAGAACATACGTCATCTACGTCAGGCATGCATGCAGCTTCTTACAGAAATCATTCATGTTAAAAACATCTCTCGACCTTGATCATAACATTCCCTTCGTAAAGACCCTTACACTTGTCCTGAGGGGACAACTAGTCCAAGGGTCAAATCAGGGCACATCTGGGATTCGAACCCATAATTAGCTGATCCTGGTATGCCTAAGGGACGCAACTCTGCAAAGAGAATTGCGGTATTTTTTACCACTGGCCCACAAAAGTCACTTGAAATTTAGTAATATTTCCTTCTATGCTCAGCAAATAAGTAACTGAAATCCAAAGTGCACAAAAACCGATGCTGTAATAGTTAAAGGTATCGAAGAATTTTCAAAGCAGTTATGGGTTTAACAACATGACACAGATACCCCTCGGTTTCCAGGAAGGGAATATAAGGGTTTAACAACATGACACAGATACCCCTCGGTTTCCAGGAAGGGAATATAATTACATAGTTTTAAGAGTATGAGACTCTATGTGCACACAATACACAACTAGGAGATGTCAATGATCAAGGTCATACACTAGAATAATGTTACATCTACTGGAACATGCGTATAAAAAGCTCTCCTTTCAAAGCCAACCTTTCTTCCGGCTCACAGTGTTTTCTGCAAGACTCATGAAAGGCACTAAAACATTCCCATCACAACTTCAAAGCAACAACTTGCCTTAAAACTAGAACCCTTCAGGGCATGTTAGGCCAAACCAAAGTTATTGCTTGTTTTACTGACTGACCGATATTTAGCAAACTTGCAAGGAAGATTTAATGAAAACAAATATGTTATTTCAACACCAAAGCTGTGAGAAGTTTGACATAATTACAAAAAAACTGTTGATGAAAATATACGAACAGATATCCTGATTTTTTCTTGATTAATTACTCACTGATTTTTTTCATCTTCTTTAGAAACCATGTTTCCAATTTATGGAAGAAACCCCAGCATCTTAATATATCAGCAACAAAATGTCAACAAGTAAAGTAACATAACTGGTATGGCCAAACATCCGATGCAATGCATGTTATTAGGGCTGGGACGGGTAACTCGGGTACCCGGGTCGGGTGGGTACAGAGTAGGCCCCGGGTACCCACAGGACTACCCGGACCCGTGGTTAGTCACGTGGTATATTGTGTCATGACTAAACTTATCTTAAAATCTATGGTTACACTACAAGTCATTAATGTTTGTTTTTCTTTCTGACTCTGCACCCATTCCTTCTGATTTTTCACGTGTTTGAATAAAGATATAACTAAAGTCAACTTCAGTGTATGCATGACCAGATTGTTTAATACATGTATCTAAATACGTTTTGCCAGGGCTATGCTGAAAAAGTTCCCAATCGGACATTTTGAGACATCTCCTGAGACCTACAGTGGGTACCCAGGTAGGGTAGGGTAATAGGGGGCCGGGTACCCAGGTACCTGGGTAGTAAATTTGGACTCATCCCAGCCCTACATGTTATGGTACTGTCTAACATACACATGGCAGATAAACACAACAATATAAACAGTAAACCTTGTTTACTCGAAGTCTGATGAGCCGTAAAAATCTATCGAGGTATCTGTAGTTTATAAGCAGCAGCAGGGTATTATGACATTAGACCATAGTGCTGATAAGTGAGTGAGTTGGGTTTAATGCCGCTTTGAACAGTGTTCCAGTTATATGACATTGTGCCGGCTTTATGTGGGAGGAAAGCAGCACCCGAAAGAATTCTACAAGGCCCCAGTGTCATCAAATGGTCAATGATATAGCAAGCATGGTGACTTCAAGTTAACAATGTTTCAGATGCATCTTATACTTGGCAGTAAAACAGTGCCCTAGTGAGTGAGTTGGGTTTAGAACTGCTTTGAGCATTATGCCAGTTACATCATGGCGTGTCAGCTTAAAGAGGGAGGAAAGCCCGAGGTGATGCAGGTCTCAGACTTTTACCACTTCGGTGAACCCCATGATCATGGGAATGGTGTTGACCAACATAACCGGGGCAAACACAGTCATAGGTTTCTGGCGTACCCAAGGGACACAACTCTGTACAGCACCCTATCTCTGAGTGCCACACAACATTTCTCCTCCCCTGGAGAGTAAGTCAGTGAGAGCATGTTGTTTCAGGCAAAGTCAGCAATATTCCAGCTATGGGACTGAAGTCTGTTAATGATCAATCCAGTCAAACCAGTGATTGACATCATGAGCATTGATTTTCACAATTAGGATACGATGACATGCATCAAGCAAGTCAGCAAGTCAGCAAGCCTTTTACGACAAGCATGGGTTGCTGAAGACCAATTCTAACCCGAATCTTCACAGGTCCATTTTGATTGTGTATGGGTGTGTGAGTGAATTGAATCTGACGTCATCAATGTCGCACTTAAATAGCGCTGAGTCTGAATGGAGAGAACGAACAAACAGCTGACACCTGATTATTTCTAAGCTGTATCATAGAAGCCTCACAGTGCACCAGAGTGAGTGAGTGTTGTTTTACACCGCTTTTAGCAATATTCCAGCAATATCACGGCGGAGGACACCAGAAATGGGCTTCACACATTGTACCCATGTCGGGAATCTAACCTGGGTCTTCGGCGTGACGAGCGAACGCTTTAACCACTAGAATCCAAGGAACGATGTGGGTGTTCACTACATCAGTCAGGTCAAGAGTTGTCTGCCCTTGTAATCACCATCTTTAATCCTTTGAGACCAATTAATACTCACTTAAGTCTCAAATGTCCCAGGACCTATTCTGTCCAAGAATCTCTATGGTTTAAAAGTAAATCATGTCAAAAGTGAACAAGACTGAGATTTTTTAAATGTACAATAACACATGACAAAAAACGACATGGTATGTGGGTGGGAATTCAACACCTTCTCTGTGAAGACTTGGACTTATTTGCGACTGGTAATGTCAAGATATCTACTGTGTCACTTGAGTCAGTCCATTGAGTGTTACCTTAATCTCCAGTGGGTTGATGATCTCCGGTGTGATGATGCATTCTGCAGGGCCGTTCATCACCTGCAGGGAAAGTGTACATCAGCATCTCTTGGCTCGAAACTCAAGTTTCTAGAAACATGTTTCAAATCTTATCAAATCCTGCCTGTGGTGCTTGCATCAGATGCAGTAGGTGCTTGCTAAGTATTTACAGGAGACACACCTACCTGTGGTGCTTGCTAAGTATTTACAGGAGACACACCTACCTGTGGTGCTTGCATCAGATACAGCAGGTGCTTGCTACCAAGTGTTTACAGGAGACACCTACCTGTGGTGCCTGCATCAGATACAGCAGGTGCTTGCTACCAAGTATTTACAGGAGACACACCTACCTGTGGTGCTTGCATCAGATACATCAGTTGCTTACTAAGTATTTACAGGAGACACACCTACCTGTGGTGCTTGCATCGGATACAGCAGGTGCTTGCTACCAGGTATTTACAGGAGACACACCTACCTGTGGTGCTTGCATCAGATACAGCAGGTGCTTGCTACCAAGTATTTACAGGAGACACCTACCTGTGGTGCTTGCATCAGATACAGCAGGTGCTTGCTACCAAGTATTTACAGGAGACACCTACCTGTGGTGCTTGCATCAGATACAGCAGGTGCTTGCTACCAAGTATTTACAGGAGACAGCCACCTGTGGTGCTTGCATCAGATACAGCAGGTGCTTGCTACCAAGTATTTACAGGAGACACACCTACCTGTGGTGCCTGCATCAGATACATCAGTTGCTTACTACCAAGTATTTACAGGAGACACACCTATCTGTGGTGCTTGCATCAGATACAGCAGGTGCTTGCTAAGTATTAACAGGAGACACCTACCTGTGGTGCTTGCATCAGATACAGCAGGTGCTTGCTAAGTATTTACAGGAGACATCTACCTGTGGTGCCTGCATCAGATACAGCAGGTGCTTGCTACCAGGTATTTACAGGAGACACCTACCTGTGGTGCTTGCATCAGATACAGCAGGTGCTTGCTACCAAGTATTTACAGGAGACACCCACCTGTGGTGCCTGCATCAGATACAGCAGTTGCTTGCTACCAAGTATTTACAGGAGACACCTACCTGTGGTGCCTGCATCAGATACAGCAGGTGCTTGCTACCAAGTATTTACAGGAGACACCTACCTGTGGTGCCTGCATCAGATACAGCAGGTGCTTGCTTAGTATTTACAGGAGACACCTACCTGTGGTGCCTGCATCAGATACAGCAGGTGCTTGCCCTGGGGCTCCCCATTCTCTGTCTGGTAAGGCCAGTAGATGGTTAGCTCAGATCGAGACACAGTGCCTGGTCCAAAATTAGTCACCTTTGAGAACAAATAGCCAAATGTAACTAAAACCCAAGAAGATACAATTTCAAAATAAAGGGGTCATGGATCACTGAGCACAAGCAACATCCCCCGTGGTTATGGGTCATCAAAGCCAGAGGAATGCAAATAGTCTCCCCACATAGTTCAAAATCAACCCATAGGTGACCGGCATTGTTTTCTTTAGTCAGTGCAATAATCCTACCACAAGAACATCAGCAAGTTGTCTGCTACCATACTGGTGTCTGTCTAACTGGGTCTGCTATCTCATGACACAGCTGATTTCCATCCCCTCCACCCCCCAAACTGCATGTGGACTGGCCTAGGCATTGTTCGGACAGATACCATTATCTATGTTGAGTGATGGTCAGATGCTGTGTTAGGTTAGCTTATCAAATTTACCTATGTGACCTTTGTGCTGACCAACAATGATAACTGGGGCCTAACATAGGTGGAGGCTAAAGGACTCGTGAAGATAACTGGGGCCCTATATAGGTGGCTAGTTTGACTGACAGAGATAACTGGGGCCCTATATATGGGCTAGTTTGACTGACAGAGATAATTGGGCCCTATATAGGTGGACCTTTTGATTTACAAAGACAACTGGGGCCCTGTATAGGTGGCTATTCTCTCAAGGAGATAACTTCGTCCCTATATAGGTGGCTATTTTGACTCACGGAGATAACTGGGGCCCTATATAGGTGGCTAGTTTGACTCACAGATATAACTGGGGCCCCATATAGGTGGCTAGTTTGACTCACGGAGACAACTGGAGCCCTATATAGGTGGCTAGTTTGACTCACAGATATAATTGGGACCCTATATTGGTGGCTATTTTGACTCGGATAACTGGGGCCTGACATGGGTGTCTATTTTGACTCCAAGTGATACATGGGGTCTAGCATGTCCCTTGGACTATAAATAAAAAACAACTCACTGAATGGTTTAACCTACCACAAATGTATGGTTGATAGGTGGTCCAATCTCATCTTCAATCTTAATGGCGCTCTCTCCACGCACACTGCCACTAAAGATGATGGGGTCATCAGGACTCGATACACTGAAAACAGGAGTGACGTAATGTGAACTGACTTCAGGCCTAATCAGGTATGACATTCACAGAAAGTTCTAAACTGAGAAATAAGTGAAAGGTACTCGATGGAATTGATAAATTGTTTCTTGCAAAGATGGTTGTCTTCATCTTGTCCAGGTACTCATAGTCATAGGCTTGGGTCCACATTGGTCAGGGTGGTCATCAGGGCTTCGAGTCAGGGTCAGTTTGAGGTTAGGGGGTCAGGGTCAGGGGGTCAGGGTCAAGGTCTGGTTAGGTTCAGGGTCAAGGTCTGGTCAGGGTCAGGTTTGGGGGTCAGGGCCAAGGTCTGGTAGAGGTTCAGGGGGTCAGGGTCAGGGTCTGGTTAGGGTCAAGGGTCAGGGTCAAGGTTTGTTTAGGGTAAGGGGGTCAGGGTCAAGGTCTGGTCAGGGTCAGGTTCGGGGGTCAGGGGCATGTCAAGGTCTGGTCAGGGGCATGTCAAGGTCTGGTCAGGGTCTGGGGGTCACGGTCAAGGTCAGAGTCTGGGGCTTTTAGTGTCAGTCTGTAACTTCAGGGTCCTGACTGTCGGATGTTGACTTGTCTGGGTTTTGATTGTGACGATCTTGATTGTTGGGGGGTTGATTGTCAGGGGCTCGATGGTCGGGGTCTGTCTGTCAGAGGCCTTGGTTGACAGAGTCAGTTGTCAAATATACTCACCCATTGACGGTCATCTCAGCAATAATGATGACACGGAAACTCATCTGATGCAAGTCATTTTCTGGAGTTATTTCGGAGCTGGACCTGTAGAGCAGAAAACAGTGGGTGAAGTAAAACACAAGATTACAAGCACTACTTCATACTTGAAGCCACACAATAAATGAAACAGGTGTCTGCTGTTTGACGCAACATTCCAGCTGTGACATCCCATGCAGAGTGAGTGAGTGAGTGAGTGAGTGAGTGAGTGAGTATGGTTTTATGCCGCTTTTAGCAATATTCCAGCAATATCACGGCAGGGGACACCAGAAATGGTCTTCACACATTTTACCCATGTCGGGAATCGAACCCGGATCTTCGGCATGGCCAGCCAACGCTTTAACCACTAGGCTACCCGAGTGAGTGAGTGAGTGAGTGAGTGGGGTTTAATGCCACTTTAAACAGTATTCCAGTCATATCACAGCGTGTTAGCTTACTGTGGGAGGAAAGCCCGAAGTGATGCAGGTCTCAGATGTTTCCCACTTTGCTGACAAACTTAGAAACATAATCGGGGTGAACTGGGATTTGAACCCACAGTCATAGGTCTCTGGCATGCCCAAGGGACGCAACTCTGCACAGCAAATTGCGGCACCTGAGATGACTGGGCCACCCATCGCGTGCAGAAGTGACCAGGGTATGATGATACACGTCAACAGTCCGTGATGTTTATTGGTTTCACTTTTGTAGAGCAATTTTTGCAACGCTAATTCAATTATTGCAATACATAACACAATATATTGCATGTGTTCTTTCATTGGTAATTTGCTACGAACCTAAATAGAAATACCCCCTATTTTTCACAATGGCATAGTCCTGTATACAAGTAACTGATTGCCAAGGTTTCACTTTTACCAACACAGAAGTCTGTTCCCAAATTCTGAATTTCATGAATTTAACTCACTCACTGACAATATACATTTCAAAACTGTGATGGGTTGATTAGCAAGATTATGACAATTTCAGATTAGAGTTACTTCCCTTTGATTACCAACAGAGAGGAAAAATGGCAGACTTTGACATTGTCACCAATGCTTTATCCATTTCTATTAAATTGATTAAAACAATTATCACGCCTTAAAGTTGTTTTACTACTATCACAATGCTACCGTACTAGCGTGGGGTACTGTTGTAATGCTATCACAATAGAGAAAATAGCCGCAATAGTCCCCACTACAACACTCAATCCATTCAGATGCCCCGCCAAGCACAGGACGCTGGACCTATTCTAACCCTGAATCCCCACTTGTGCCAATGTATTAGTGAGTGAGTTGGGTTTTACACTACTTTAGCAATATTCCTGACAGGGGAAATAGAGGTTATCACGCGAGTGTGTTTGGGGATGGTAAATATCCTGCATTAGGAATAAACATTGTATTTAGCGAGCCTTGGCGAGCTAAATACATAGTGTTTATTCCTAATACAGGATATTTACCATCCCCAAACACACAAGCGTGATAACCTCTTTATCATATAATGTCATTCTTTAATTCTGTGCTTCAAAATCGCTTTCCCTCTCTCACAAACATTACCGAAACATTGCGAGTTTTCCTGGAATGCGCGCATTAATATTTATTACGTCACAGGGTAAGTGATGTGTCAGTCGGACAGTGACAGTAGCCAATATAGTTCCAACTGAAATCTGTTTCTTATACAGTGGCGAAGCAACATATACGCAAAACAACAATTGTTTTTAATTGCCTTTCGCGGCAATCCATCGGTCTATCCGCTAGAGTAACTGCCCTTTGTCAAAGGGAAGCTACTCTAACCCTAGTCTATGAGACGTCACGGCCACGGTCAGACGTTGTTGACAGTCGGTCTGTCCTGTCATTACAATAAGAAGTGTAGTCAGATTTACACACAGCGACAAAACGAAACAAGGTAACAATTCAAACATATTTCCGCCAAATCCAACTATTTTAATTTGTGGAGGAGGTTTCAAGCCGCAGAGGTCTACAAGCACAGATATGGCTACTGATCCCGCTTGGCTAGGCCTCGTGCCCTCGCCAAATTGTTTCGAAATTTATATCTCCAAAGTTGACAAAACTTATAAAATGCCTTAGCTACGTCACAGTTAGACACAGATTTTCAGTATATTAGACTGTTCTTTTGATAATGATAGCAATTATCCCTGTAGTTTATCCAGATTCCCGATGGTTAATTCTGACTCGATCCCCGACGCCATGTTTGTTTATAAACAGTGAAAGTAGTCCCTACTTGACCTTTGATATTTGCATCTCTATCCGCATATGACCCCAACGGATATCGTTTTTATCCGTTGGCTTTATCCTGCCGAGAAACCTACCCATTATATGATAAAAAACGTTTATGCTTCATATCAAGGCAAGGGACACCCAAAATATGCCTCACACATGAGGGGAATCGAACCCAGGCGTGTGGTGAAGCAAGTGAATGCTTTAACCACGAGGCTACTCAAACATCCAGGCCTATGAAATGTGGAGACACTCACGTGTTGGCCCAGACGATGATCTGGTGGTCCTCCTGCGACGGCTCCAGCTTGGAAGGGTCCAGCTTCACTATGAAACGGACAAAGTTGTCCTTGGGTAGCGGGTTGCCGATGTCTCCACACTTGATCAGTGACGCATTGCCCTCCACCGTGTCACACTTCACTTCCGTGTCCTGGCAAATCAATTCAATGTGTCAAGTTTTCAACCCTAAGTTGAGTGATTTAGTTTTACAAAGAGGTTGTTTCCAAATCAAGTCTTAGTAAACTTTGCTAACTTGGAACAAACATATGCTGCTATTACAACACAAAGTATGTTTCTCATTGTCTCAAATTTCATCCTTTTATGAGATGTGCTACGCCGTCACAGGGAGTGAATGAATATTGTTTTATACCACACTCAGAATAATTTCAGCTGTATAGATGCAGCATGTAAATAATCCTGTCTGGACCAAATAAATCTGTGTTTATTCAGTGAGCATATATAAGGTGAGGTGGTGAGGTGAAATGGGGTTTAACGTCGCGTCAAAGATTATTGCACTTATATAGCGATGTGCATGCACGTGTATAGCGACGTGCATGCACGTGTATGTGTGTGTGTGTGTGTGACTGCTTGTACTAGTCCGGACTGATGCCGATTTATAGTGCTAGCTCACTGAGATACCATGCCGCAGTTTAACATGAATATCCCACTCAGACACAGTATACTGACTCCGAGCCAACCAGTCCTTGTTTTAGCCCCTTAATGCCGAGCGCCAGACAGGGTAACAACAAGTACCATCTTTTATTGTCTTTTGGTATGACGCGGCCGGGGATCGAACCGCGGACCTTCCACTCTCCGGGCCGACGCTCCACCATTAGACCACGGAGGCGGTCTGAGCATACATAAACATCATTCAGGCACAATAACAGACGATCAGACGTATCACAGTCTGACCACCTGATCCATTTAAAGGGAGACTACTCCACATCCTGGAGTCCATCAGTCTTGGTCTCGCCATCGTGGTACAAGTGAACTGGGACATTGCCTGTGTGTTATTGGGCAGCCATAAACTGCAGGATTCTAATACATCATACATTTGAGTTGCAGACAAGCAAAGTGGTATATGAACAACTTGAATCAAGTCTACACTCTGCCCCAAGGGGCCAATGTCGTCTACTCTTACCACAAGCCTGGGTAGGATGGACTAATTCTACCCCAAGGGGCCAATGTCCTCTACTCTTACCACAAGCCTGGGTAGGATGGACTAATTCTACCCCAAGGGGCCAATGTCCTCTACTCTTACCAAAAGCCTGGGTAGGATGGTCTAATTCTACCCCAAGGGGCCAATGTCCTCTACTCTTACCACAAGCCTGGGTAGGATGGACTAATTCTACCCCAAGGGGCCAATGTCGTCAACTCTTACCACAAGCCTGGGTAGGATGGTCTAATTCTACCCCAAGGGGCCAATGTCCTCTACTCTTACCAAAAGCCTAGGTAGGATGGACTAATTCTACCCCAAGGGGCCAATGTCCTCTACTCTTACCAAAAGCCTGGGAAGGATGGTCTAATTCTACCCCAAGGGGCCAATGTCCTCTACTCTTACCACAAGCCTGGGTAGGATGGACTAATTCTACCCCAAGGGGCCAATGTCCTCTACTCTTACCAAAAGCTTGGGTAGGATGGTCTAATTCTACCCCAAGGGGCCAATGTCCTCTACTCTTACCAAAAGCCTAGGTAGGATGGACTAATTCTACCCCAAGGGGCCAATGTCCTCTACTCTTACCAAAAGCCTAGGTAGGATGGACTAATTCTACCCCAAGGGGCCAATGTCCTCTACTCTTACCAAAAGCCTGGGTAGGATGGACTAATTCTACCCCAAGGGGCCAATGTCCTCTACTCTTACCAAAAGCCTGGGTAGGATGGACTAATTCTACCCCAAGGGGCCAATGTCCTCTACTCTTACCAAAAGCCTGGGTAGGATGGACTAATTCTACCCCAAGGGGCCAATGTCCTCTACTCTTACCAAAAGCCTGGGTAGGATGGTCTAATTCTACCCAAAGGGGCCAATGTCCTCTACTCTTACCAAAAGCCTGGGTAGGATGGACTAATTCTACTCCAAGGGGCCAATGTCCTCTACTCTTACCACAAGCATGGGTAGGATGGTCTAATTCTACCCCAAGGGGCCAATGTCCTCTACTCTTACCACAAGCCTGGGTAGGATGGTCTAATTCTACCCCAAGGGGCCAATGTCCTCTACTCTTACCACAAGCCTGGGTAGGATGGTCTAATTCTACCCCAAGGGGCCAATGTCGTCTACTCTTACCACAAGCCTGGGTAGGATGGTCTAATTCTACCCCAAGGGGCCAATGTCCTCTACTCTTACAACAAGCCTGGGTAGGATGGTCTAATTCTACTCCAAGGGGCCAATGTCTCTACTCTTACCACAAGCCTGGGTAGGATGGTCTAATTCTACCCCAAGGGCCAATGTCCTCTACTCTTACCACAAGCATGGGTAGGATGGTCTAATTCTACCCCAAGGGGCCAATGTCGTCTACTCTTACCACAAGCCTGGGTAGGATGGTCTAATTCTACCCTAAAGGGGCCAATGTCCTCTACTCTTACCACAAGCCTGGGTAGGATGGACTAATTCTACCCCAAGGGGCCAATGTCCTCTACTCTTACCACAAGCCTGGGTAGGATGGACTAATTCTACCCCAAGGGGCCAATGTCTCTACTCTTACCACAAGCCTGGGTAGGATGGTCTAATTCTACCCCAAGGGGCCAATGTCTCTACTCTTACCACAAGCCTGGGTAGGATGGACTAATTCTACCCCAAGGGGCCAATGTCGTCAACTCTTATGACAAACTACTTATGAAGTGTCTACCTTGCTGGTTGCGTCCAGCGTGTCGCGGCCCTGGTAGTGGAGCGTCTCTGGCTTCTTCACGTACACCCTTGTCAGGTAGGCAGCCTCACCAACATTGCGGATCGTCATCGTCATGGTGATAACAGGCTGATCGCCCTGGCTCAGCACGTACCGCCCTGCAGTATCCCTGCAACATACAAAATATTGCCAATATGTTACATCCAAAACAATAATAACAAGCTTGAAATACTCACATCCCCCGCCAATATGACATGTCGGGTGTGTGCAATGCATTAACTGCTGTGAACTATGTTCACTGGGCCTTTTTGTACATGGCCTAATTGCAGCACTAAAAAAAAAGTTATTACTGGTGTTGTTTTTCCGTCTGCAGTTTATGATAGAATATGTTACTGAATTTGTAATGAGTAAGGATGAGACATATGGACGAACAACTTCTTTATTACAATTAGGAGCGATGGTTTCGGTGTAGGTTCTAACATCATTATCAAGCAAGTGAAGTACAGAGTATGGTTGACAAGAATATATATTGTTTATACAGTTGAGTAGGTTTAAGATCAGTTACACTGTTGTATTTGTAATGAGTTGTGTTTCTGTATGAAGTTAGTCAGTGAATGCAACAACTGTGTCCATGCCACTTTTGGAGGAACATACACTCAAGCAATGCAGAACTTACCAAAAAGAAAGGAAATGTATTCAATACTGTGAGATGACATTATGTGCCAAGTTTGGTAAAGAAACATAGTTTGTTTTTCAAGATCTGCTCCAGAAACGAGGACTACCACCATTTTCAGTCTAAGACAAAGTCGTTGCCATGGAAACTAAAAAAATAACTTTTTAAAAAAATCCCAAACTATCAAAAGGCACCAGTTCACCACTACATCTATCTATGTGCCAAGTATGGTGAAGAAATATAGTACGGTTTTCAAGATCTGCCCCGGAAACGAGGACTACTGCCATTTTCAGTCTAAATCAAAGTCGTTGCCATGGAAACTCGAAATTATTTATTTTTTTAAATCCCAAACTATCAAAAGGCACCAGTTCACCAGTAGACCTATCTATGTGCCAAGTTTGATGAAGAAATATAGTACGGTTTTCAAGATCTGCTCCGGAAACGAGGACTACCGCCATTTTCAGTCTAAATCAAAGTCGTTGCCATGGAAACTCGAAAAATACTTTTTTTTTAAATCCCAAACTATCAAAAGGCACCAGTTCACCATTAGATCTATCTATGTACCAAGTTTGGTGAAGAAATATGTTACGGTTTTCAAGATCTGCTCCGGAAACGAAATGTGATGGACGGACGGATGGACGGACGTGGCGGGGGATAATAAAAGCAAATAAAAATAATAACACTTGGTAATAATAACACATATTTTGGTATGATGCAACTGAGGATCAAACCCCCGACCACCCGTTCTCAGGGTAGATGCTCTACCACTAGACCACGGAGGCGCTCGGGTGCAAACGTAACAGCTACATAACTAATATAATCCTGTGCTTGGAGTTGAACCACAGACCTTCTGTTTGGTCAGACACCTTGTCCACATGACCTAACAGGAGAGCCCCATCAGCCAGCTGACCAGGTAAAGATGTCATGTGCTGACTCCACGCCCTGCATTAAATATCCCCATCATAGGTGTTTATGTTTCTTGTTTGTTTGTTGTTTAACGCCGTACTTGGCAAAATTCCAGTTATATAACGGCAGTCTGTAAACAATCGAGTCTGAACCAGACAATTCAGTGCGTAACATCATGAACATTGATCTACGCAATTGGGATATGATGACATGCATCAACCAGGTCAGCAAGCCTGACCACCCGATCACGTTGCCTCTTATGGCAAGCATGGGTTGCTGAAGACGTATTCTAACCCGGATCTTTACTAGTGTAGGTGTTTAAGTAACTTACTTTGGCAGGTCAAGGGTGGCTTCGAACTGGAGATTGCTGTTACACTCTCCCTCGCAGTCCTTGACAAACTCCACCTGAAATGAAGGACAAAGGGTTGAGTCTCAACAAGCCTGGCTGGGGTGAGGTGAGGTGAAATGGGGTTTAACGTCCCGTCCAAGATTATTGCACTTATATAGCGACGTGCATGTACGTGTGTTTGTTTGTGTGGCTGCTTGTACTAGTCCGGACTGATGCCGATTTAAGTGCTAGCACACTGAGATACCATGCCGCAGTTTAACATGAATACCCCACTCAGACACAGTATACTGACTCCAAGGCTACCAGTCCTTGTTTTAGCCCCTTAATGCCGAGCACCAGACAGGGTAACAACAAGTACCATCTTTTAACGTCTTTTGGTATGAAGCGGCTGGGGATCGAACCCCGGACCTTCCGCTCTCCGGGCGGACGCTCTACCACAAGACCACGGAGGCGGTCCCTGGCCGGGTCGCTGTCTTGCCCTGCAGGTTACTCTGTGTGAAGTTAAGCATGAGAGTCAAGGGGTCCTTGTCTTAACGTTGAATGTGTGAAGAGATCCAGGGGTCCATAAGGGGTTTGTCTAGACCTGCTTAGAGCAATATTCTGCCCCCAGTCTGGAGAAAAAGTTAGTAAAAATTCCAAAATTGGAATAAAAAAATTCCCATTTCATGCTAATCACGCCATCACTGATAACAGTACCAATAACAAGGAAGAGGTCTTAATGCTTATTATTGCATTATTGCAATGTCAAAGTACCACAGGATTTAGGATAAAAAGAACTTTTTAAAAATCACAATTTTGAATATATTTTTTACATGTCGATCAATTTGTCCCAACAAGCTGCAGTTTCTTAAATGACAGCCTGAAGAGTTGAGTCAGGGCTTGCAGCTTCTAAAGTCTGTGGGTCCTGATGGCAGCCTGACAATTTGATTTACTTCAAACACTGATGGTAACCCGGAGTCCCTACAGGTTTCAGTCGTCACAGGAGTTTGAAACAGTGTTACAGTGCTACAGTTACAGTGCTACAGTGTTACAGTGTTACAGTATTACAGTGCTACAGTGTTACAGTGCTACAGTATTACAGTTACAGTGCTACAGTTACAGTGCTACAGTTACATTGCTACAGTTACAGTGCTACAGTGTTACAGTATTACAGTGCTACAGTTACAGTGCTACAGTTACAGTGCTACAGTACTACAGTATTACAGTGCTACAGTATTACAGTGTTACAGTGCTAGTGTTACAGTGCTACAGTTACAGTGATACAGTTACAGTGCTACAGTTACAGTGTTACAGTTACAGTGCTACAGTGCTACAGTATTACAGTGCTACAGTATTACAGTGTTACAGTGCTACAGTGCTACAGTGCCCTGTGAGTTTACTACACACCATGGCAGTGAGCGCTGTCTTGGTTGTCTCCATCTCGGCCCCTGCGGTAGCGAGGATGGGGTAGTCGTTGACGTCGGGCATGGGTTCACCTGGCCTCGGGCGTGTGTACGACAGTTCCTCCAACTTGTACGAGATGTCGAAGATCAGTGGGTTCAGTTTGTCCTGGAATGAGTCCTGAAACACAGACCGATGTCTCTTCAGAAAATAAAATAATAAGATAGTTACGAAATATACATTACCAAACAACCCATTTCAACCTTACACATCCAAAGCCCAGTTCCACAAAGCAATCTTAGCGCTAAGACGATAGTAACTCCCATACTTTATCACAGACTTATGACAATCGCAGCGCTAAGACCACTCTGTGGAATGGACCCAGGTGCTTATTTTCACAGCCAGTTCCCAGACCAGTCGCTAAATAGGTCTGGCACTATTTATTCTAAGAATACATAATTTTCTACTTTTTCATATTAGGGAGAAGTTTGTGAATACCTGACGCTATTTCAGGCCTTGCATTAAATACAAGACCTGCTTTGGTTGAAGGTGTTTCAGAGAGACTATTAGACAGACATGTGAATATACCGTGGAAGCTGTGGAAGCTGTGAAACTGGAGTCATTTGACACCCTTGAGTAAACACTGTCTCAGTTGATACCCTTGAGTTACTCAGTTTAATTTGATATCTTTGAGTTACACACTGTCCCATTTTATACAGTTGAGTTACAGTTTAATTTGATACCTTTGAGGTAAACAACGTCTCAGTTGATACCCTTGGGATACACACTGTCTCATTTGATACCCTTGAGTTACACAGTTTAATTTGATATCTTTGAGTTACACACTGTCCCATTTGATACCCTTGAGTTACACAGTTTAATTTGATACCTTTGAGGTAAACACTGTCTCAGTTGATACCCTTGGGATACACACTGTCTTATTTGTGATGGAGGAATGACGTGAACACAAACACATGAAGTATTGACCATGTTATACGGGGAATCTACTCACCTCCAGAAAAGCTATCTCCTTGGTGCATTTTGGCTTTGGGTTTGTTTGTTGGCGAAGGGTGAGAGTGGCTTCCTTTATACGGCCATTAGCTTCGGATGGATTTTTCAGTAAAATACGAGAGATACTTCGCGATTTCTCAGTTTCTATCTTGTAGACAATTCTTGGTCGGTTCGTAAAACTGGAAATACAAGAAATAATGCATTAGAATCATAAAGACAGAAAAATATGAAATACATTTTGATAAGAGCCACTTTCCTTTTTTTTCATGAAATTAACTTTTCTCAAAACCACTAAGCAAAGTTTCATTCGGTGACACATTATTTCATTTTGTGCCTTAAATAATCCATTCAGGCAAACTAGCGACAAAAACCATGGGCAGAGATGATGGCTGACGGAGTGCAGAGACCATGGCTGTTCACTGACAGACAGATAGGATATATTTCATAGACACACTGCAACCACCCAGTACAACCTTTCAGCTCTTGTGATCATTTTTGCCTCATAATCCCTATTTATTATTTTGATTGACAATAACTGGGTCTGAGATCTAGCCCAGTGTTTGAAATAATCTAAGAACCAACCAGACAGCAGGGCAGGTGACCCACGAGTGTTGCCTGCCCATCTTCAAAGTTACCCGCCCGAATTCAGACATAATATATATTGAAAAATCGTGACAAATAAGTGACAAATCGCATCTTGATTCAGTTGAAATAATACAAAACAATTACTTGAGAATCTACGAGGAGTTATAATGACTGAATACAAAGTATTCAAAAAATTATCTGCCAGACAGTCAGACAGGTGGAGGAAAATTTCGTGCAGCCCGACAGAAAAGTTACCAGCCACGGGCAGGCAGGCAGGCAGTTATTTCAGATACGGAACTAACCACCGATCATATTGACTAAATCGCATCAGTCAGCATTGGTCTACTGCCACAGGACTGCAAACTACATACAATAATTGTGAGAAACTAGGCTAAGAAACATACTAGTCTTGGTTCTCAGGCACCGCCCGCATCATCATAAAGTCTGCTGCATGTTTCAGTATTATTTCCATTTAAAAAAAAAAATCTTTAAATATTCCACGTCTCGAACACATGACCCTGGCAATGAAATACTAATATACAAGGTTTCATACTAGCTTGAACAACAACAACAAAAACACACCACCCGCCCGCACTATATTTTCAAAAGCTGTTGCCTGAGAACCATTTTTTATATATTATTAAACCCTAAGCATATTCTTACCTTTCCTGGGGCTCTGCCTTGAAACTAAGGCAAATGCTAATCTGAATACAGTGTTTCTTAACGTCGGGCTCGAACGGGCAGGAAGGGGGCTCCGACAGGTCGATCATCTCGGGTTTCAGGGTCACGTTAGAAATCAGATGTATGATTGGTCGCGCCCTGATCAGTGCCACCTCATTGGACTCGTACGACCCCACCAGCAGGTCCGGGTAGCCGTTGGCATCCAGGTCCATCCCCCCCGACAGAGAGTGGCCGAATGATGACAGGTTGGGACTGGGAAGGTCTTCCGCTGGGATTCTCTGCAGTGAAAGGTTTGTTTCTTGGTTTATAAGGACTTGGCAATATTCTATTTCACAGCCGACTGTAATTAACAGCTTAGTGTTTGTTTGTTTGTTTGTTTGTTTGTTTGTTTGTTTGTTGTTTAATGTCACATGCCATATAGCAATATTCAAGCTGTATGATGGCGGTTGGTAAATATTCGAATCTGGACCAGACAATCAAGTGATTGATATTGTGAGATCAAAGATGTCGGGGTAGGATGACACGCAATCAACCAAGTCACCAAATCAGACCGATACTTTTAGTTGTTTCCTACGACCGGCACAGATTGCTGACCCAGAATCCCTACTCAGGTCAACATTGGAGGAGTGCCAAAGGCTGGTCATAGAAAGTCACCACTTTGGTCCAGTGCCGGCCGACCTCGGTAAGATGATCTCATTCAAGCACACAAACCAGTTTAACATCAGGGGGATATCAGCTAATGAGGAAACTAAAGAATTGGATAAAGTTATGGTCTAAAAACGAAAGTTGATCATTGATGCAAAAAACATTGTTTCTATCATTCAAGCAATAAAATAAAATCTCAAATTTGCATCCCATTATGCAAAACATACTAAATTAACAGCTGATAATAGACATGAGTCATCAGAAGACGACAAATCCCCCCAAGCCCCAACAAATTCAAAAGAACCAAACATCTGACTGTTTCAGTTAGTCAAACTTAATGAGAGAATTATCGATCTAATCTGTCTGTCCGTATACAAGAGTAGTAATTGAGCTATATCAATATCATGGAATTGGGACTTGGAACTTTGCATTTGTATGTCGGTACACACCACTATGAACAGAGACAAAGTCAAACCTGTTGCCATGGAAACGGAAAAAAATAAATTCTAAAAATCCCTCAGTAGCAAAGGCACTAGTTGACAACATGGTCTTTGTGTGTGCAAAGTTCATGAAAGAATACCTATTAGTTTTAGAGGTATGGCCCGGACAAACACACCACTATGAACAGAATAAAATTCAAACTTGTTGCCATGGATATAGAAAAAATAAAAATTTAAAAAATAGCAAAAGGCACCACTTTATCCCCTGATTAATATATCCACCAAGTTTAGATGAAAAATCTTGGTAAAGTTTGGTAATTGTAAAAACTCTTGTAAATTAAATCTGCAGGTGCTGGTTTTATAAGTATCAAATACTTGATAAAAACCTCAAATTGGAAAACATCAAAAGTTTATTTTCCAGTAAGGTTAATTATTTTCACTTTCATACAAACCAATGTCGAACTTTGACCTCACCTGAGCGTACTTCTCCACGACTCCTTTCTTGGAGCCATGGAAGATGTAGACAGTGCCCTTCCCCTCGTACGGGGCACCCACAGCGAAGTCTGAAACGTAAGCATTATAATGATTAAAACTACCAGAATAATTCAACTTTATAATAAAATCAAAACCCTTTCCTCCAATTATTGCCATCAACATTTTAATTTCATGCTAATAAAGTGGCAAGAAAAATGTTCAAGCTTCGAAGTTCTATTTTATAGAGTGAGTGAGTGAGTGAGTGAGTGAGTGAGTGAGTGAGTGAGTGAGTGAGTGAGTGAGTGAGTGAGTTTGGTTTAATGCTATTTTAACAATACTTCAGTAACATCTCAGTGTGTCTACTTAACGTGGGAGCGAAGCAGGTGTCCGATGTTTGTGAAACCAACGAGCATGGAAATCTGTTTTGAATTGTATACAGGAATAATAGCCACATAATATAACATTTATTATCCTATTCAACGAATATATCATGTGTTGAATAAATGAATCTTCATCAGGACCTACTATAACCCGGACTCCCATCAGGGGACTGTTGTATCTTTATCAGGACCTATTCTAACCTCGACTCCTGTCAGGGGACTGTTGTATCTCTATCAGGACCTACTCTAACCCGAACTCCTGTCAGGGGACTGTTGTATCTCCATCAGGACCTACTGTAACCCGGACTCCCGTCAGGGGACTGTTGTATCTTTATCAGGACCTACTCTAACCCGGACTCCCGTCAGGGGACTGTTGTATCTCTATCAGGATCTACTCTAACCCGGACTCCCGTCAGGGGACTGTTGTATCTTTATCAGGACCTATTATAACCCGGACTCCTGTCAGGGGACTGTTGTATCTTTATCAGGACTTTTCTAACCTCGACTCCTGTCAGGGGACTGTTGTATCTCTATCAGGACCTACTCTAACCCGGACTCCCGTCAGGTATCTGTTGTATCTCTATCGGGACCTATTATAACCCGGACTCCTGTCAGGGGACTGTTGTATCTTTATCAGGACCTACTATAACCCGGACTCCTGTCAGGGGACTGTTGTATCTTTATCAGGACCTATCCTAACCTCGACTCCTGTCAGGGGACTGTTGTATCTCTATCGGGACATACTGTATCCCGGACTCCCATCAGGGGACTGTTGTATCTCTATCGGGACCTACTGTATCCCGGACTCCCATCAGGGGACTGTTGTATCTCCACGGGACATACTGTATCCCGGACTCCCATCAGGGGACTGTTGTATCTTTATCAGGACCATCTCTAACCCGGACTCCCGTCAGGGGACTGTTGTATCTCTATCGGGACATACTGTATCCCGGACTCCCATCAGGGGACTGTTGTATCTCTATCGGGACCTATTATAACCCGGACTCCTGTCAGGGGACTGTTGTATCTCTATCGGGACGTACTCTATCCAGGACTCCCGTCAGGGGACTGTTGTATCTCTATCAGGACATACTCTATCCCGGACTCCTGTCAGGGGACTGTTGTATCTCTATCAGGACCTACTCTAAGCCAGACTCCCGTCAGGGGACTGTTGTATCTTTATCAGGACCTATTATAACCCTGACTCCTGTCAGGGGACTGTTGTATCTCTATCAGGACCTACTCTAACCCGGACTCCTGTCAGGGGACTGTTGTATCTCTATCAGGACCTACTCTAACCCGGACTCCTGTCAGGGGACTGTTGTATCTCTATCAGGACCTACTCTAAGCCAGACTCCCGTCAGGGGACTGTTGTATCTTTATCAGGACCTATTATAACCCTGACTCCTGTCAGGGGACTGTTGTATCTCTATCAGGACCTACTCTAACCCGGACTCCTGTCAGGGGACTGTTGTATCTCTATCAGGACCTACTCTAACCCGGACTCCCGTCAGGGGACTGTTGTATCTCTATCGGGACATACTCTATCCCGACTCCCGTCAGGGGACTGTTGTATCTCTATCGGGACCTACTGTATCCCGACTCCTGTCAGGGGACTGTTGTATCTCTATCGGGACATACTCTATCCCGACTCCTGTCAGGGGACTGTTGTATCTCTATCAGGACGTACTCTATCCCGACTCCCGTCAGGGGACTGTTGTATCTCTATCGGGACATACTCTATCCCGACTCCCGTCAGGGGACTGTTGTATCTCTATCGGGACCTACTCTAACCCGGACTCCTGTCAGGGGACTGTTGTATCTCTTTCGGGACATACTCTATCCCGACTCCCGTCAGGGGACTGTTGTATCTCTATCGGGACCTATTATAACCCGGACTCCTGTCAGGGGACTGTTGTATCTCTATCAGGACGTACTCTATCCCGACTCCCGTCAGGGGACTGTTGTATCTCTATCGGGACCTATTATAACCCGGACTCCTGTCAGGGGACTGTTGTATCTCTATCAGGACGTACTCTATCCCGACTCCCGTCAGGGGACTGTTGTATCTCTATCGGGACATACTCTATCCCGACTCCCGTCAGGGGACTGTTGTATCTCTATCGGGACCTACTCTAACCCGGACTCCCGTCAGGGGACTGTTGTATCTCTTTCGGGACCTATTATAACCCGGACTCCTGTCAGGGGACTGTTGTATCTCTTTCGGGACCTATTATAACCCGGACTCCTGTCAGGGGACTGTTGTATCTCTATGGGGACGTACTCTATCCTGTACTCCCGTCAGGGGACTGTTGTATCTCTTTCGGGACCTATTATAACCCGGACTCCCGTCAGGGGACTGTTGTATCTCTTTCGGGACCTATTATAACCCGGACTCCTGTCAGGGGACTGTTGTATCTCTATGGGGACGTACTCTATCCCGTACTCCCGTCAGGAGACTGTTGTATCTCTATGGGGACGTACTCTATCCTGTACTCCCGTCAGGAGACTGTTGTAGCTCACCTTGGTAGCCATCTCCATTGAGATCTCCGACCTTGCTGAGACTGAAGCCGAACCTGGCGTGTTCACACTGCAGCTCTCGGCACTCGTGGTCGTTCATCTGCCGGCTAAGGATCACGATGGGATCCGTGTACTTGTTCAGCTAATAACAAAAAAACAAAACAATGACAACAAGGTATCCACACTGAGGTCATTTTGTTTAAACTTTGGGATTTTCCATATATTTGTAAATTCAGGGAAATTTTAACATTTCCAAGCAAATGGATCCTGGCACAACTAAGGGACACAACTCTACACACACCAAGAATGAGAGCACCACCAACCTCAAGCAAAAACATTAGCTGTGACTATAACAACATGACTTGGCAAATTTTCAATTCCAATTTGAGAACTGGCTCTGTGCCAAGCATGGGGTACTACTTCTACTAATTTGATCTATCATTGGTAACCATGGTAACTATTCCTGTCACTTACTGCAGTTCCTCCACCAAGATAGATATAGATGGCGCCGCCTACATTGGTATCATGGTAGAAGGGAGCTCCGACTATAAGATCATCATATCTGAAAGAACACATAGAACATGAACAAACCTCAACACAGAACTAAATATGATATAAAACAATTGTGCAAGGCTTGCATGATATATGCAGTCATGGGAACAGATCACCGCCTATCAGTATCATGGATGGGTTGAGTTGGGTTTGTACAGCTATGTACAGTATTTCAGTTACTGTATTCGACGTAATAAGCGCCCTGCTCTAATAGGCGCCCATGGCGATATTTGCTAATATATTGGCTCGTGAACAATCCCAGTTAGCAACCCTTCCGATTAATCAATGTACATAAGACTTATTTATTCGTGTACAATTCGCACTTGTGTGTTATACACATCCTTAATCATGGGCAATTAAATTCTGGAAAATATATCTGTCTTGTATAATATGCACAGACTTTTCTTTTGTATTATTTCAGGCTGTTAGCATAAACCACGAAATTTACGATCTTTCAACTATGTTTTTTTTCTCACCAAAATTTCATTCTAATAAGAGCCCCCTATGTCTAATTTTGGGAGCGCCCTGGGCGCTTATTACGTGGAATACGGTAAATGATGGCATGTCAGCTGAATAAAGCAGGAAATTCCACAGCTAAAAAAATCCTGATGAAGACAATAACCACCTACTTGTCATTATTCAGATTGATCGTAAGTAGGTCATGCCCGAATGATGAGAAGTCTCTCTGGCCCTTTAGGATCTGGTTTTCAGCGTACAGGAGATTTCGGCCGGGGATCTGTGAGAAGATGACAATCTCTCCTGTCTGTCCGGAGCGAGGGGCACCTGCTATGTAGTATTTCTGGTTCGACTTATCATACACCCCGCTGGTCACCGAGTAACCTACAAAAACACGGAGACATCATGAAGCATGGAGTGAGTGAGTGAGTTTGGTTTTACTCCGCTTTTAGCAATATTCCAGCAATATCACAGCGGAGGACACCAGAAATGGGCTTCACACATTGTACCCATGTCGGGAATCGAACCCGGGTCTTCGGCGTGACGAGGGAACGCTTCAACCACAAGGCTACCCAACTGACCCTCAGGAAACATGGAGTGTGTGAGGGAGTTAATGCCCCCTTTGTCAATTTTCTAAGTGCCTGGGGCGTTGATTACGGAGATAACGGTAAGCAATTGTGTTCCTCTGCAATCAGCTTCTTTTTAACAACTGATCAACAGCGGACTGTAAATAATAAAATATGGGCCGGACAGACAACGATGACATCATGAAGAAGGTCCCAAGCCAGGTCTGTATGTATATCAAGACTTCATAATGCCTTACATCACTTGTGTCATCACAAGTGACCTTGTTTGGCCTTGGAGTTACCATACGGAGTAAGACGGCAGTCACAAGAAAGATTTAAGACTTCCAGAGGGCTATCGAAAACCGTATTTCACTATTGCTAAGAGTTTGTAGTTGGTACTGGATGAACAAGACAAAAATGTTTACATGATCTGTAATGCCAATTCCGTTCCAAACAGAAGCATTCAGCACTGGGTAAGATTTATAGCCCTCCAAGCTCAAATGTTCAATAAGCATCACTGGGTTCTTACTTGTCCTAAGCACAATTTAGTAGTATCACAAGGGCCGATCCAGCATTTTTAAAAGGGAGGGGTCCAAAATATCAAAATCCTTACTCGGTCAGTTTTACTTCCTACAACATACTACATTTGATTTTCAAAAGGAGGGTCCACTCACCCAGGTATGCATACTTGTCCACAGGGGGTTTGGGTTCTGTCGGAGAAGGGGAATCCCCCTCTGTGGGCACCGGGGTATAGTAGAAGGACTTGTCCGCACCCAGCACCTCGCTCATGTTCCCCTTGAACATCACGCCACGCCAGTCAAACGACCCTGGAGCTCCCATTATGAAACCGTCATCCTGCAAGAAGATTGTTTAATCAAGAGATTGAGACACATCTTTCTTTTATGAGCAGCCTTTATCCACATGTAAAAGTGGACTTGTGGCCCCACTAACGTTTGTGCTGAATCTAATGCTGCATCTCATGAGTGAGTGAGTGAGTGAGTGAGTGAGTGAGTGAGTGAGTGAGTGAGTGAGTGAGTGAGTGAGTGAGTGAGTGAGTGAGGTGAATTTAACGCCGCTTTATACAGAATAACAGTTATATAGCGGCGTGCCAGCTTAATGTGGGAGCCTGAACTGATGCAGGTCTCAGACGTTTACCACTTTGGTGAAACCCACGAGCACGGGTATGTTGCTGACAAACCAAGAAACATAATTGGGGCAAACAGGGATTCGAACCCACAATCATAGGTTTATGGCGTGCTCAAGGGACACAACTCTGCACTGCAAATCTCAGCGCCTTAGACAACTTGGCCACCCGTGCCCCCCATGACTGGTAGTAAGGGTGGGTGTAGTTTCAATTCAGCCTCAAGCCCTTGTGGCTCGTACTGTACCATCCCAAAATGGCTTAACACTATTGGCAATCAACCCGTTAAATATTCAGAATCTGGGGATATGGTTACCTTTTTTTCCACAATAACCAGGTCCTTGCAAGGCATTGGCGCATCCGATATGTCTGTAAGGCCCTCATCAATGTCATCACCACAATCTTACAGATGGACCCGCAAATGAATACATCTCAACAAAATGAACCCCGGTACTGTCTTTACAACTGTACACACCAGGTTGAATATACAGCCCAAAATGTTGATATGAGGTACAGTTCACTGAGCATGCCCAAACCAAACTTAGTCATTAAGCAACAAAGATATGTCATATTCAAAGGTGAGTTATATGACTATTATTGCCAGTTGCATACGTAGGATCATGATACAAGATGAAGCATATATTTAGCCGGTAGTTTGTGGTAGGTAGCGGTGTGTGTTTTTTTGTGTACCATCAACCTGGGAAAGGGCCTCCCTACAGAAATAAGCACACAAACTCCTATTGCTGCCATGACCATAACGAGAGATGCACGGTAAAACAGTGCGTATGTAAAGGGAAGTAACTGTGTGGTATATTGGATCACATTGTTTTTAAGGCTTATCATCATCATCATCATAAAGTTCATTGCATGTTTTGTTTTTATTTCCATTTTCAACTTTTTTGTGCATTGTGTTTAAGTATTAGGATTTTCATATTTTTTTGAAAATGGAAAAAAACAAAAAACTACATGATTATGCGGACGGTGCCTGAGAACCAAGACTATTTGTTTTTTAGCCTTGTTGGGACATAAGTCAAAGTGATATTATATACATTAGGGCCATGGGAAGGCTATATAACAGCTATGTCACCTTAGCCTGCACACACTCCACTCTGGGACAGACAAACCTGGATAGCATGAGCAATGATAACCTTTGAAAGACACTTTCTGACAAAATAAGACTGAGTGTTATCAGCATATCAGCATATCAAAGTATAACACAACATGTCAGCTAAACCGCTAAATGTGAGAGTAAATCTCATAGTCATGCAGGTCATAGATGGCAACAACTCTGACAAAACCCACAAGTGAGAGTATGGTGCTGACAAAGAGAGGATAACAAACGAAAAATCTGGGGTTTGAACAATGGATCCTGTCACAGCTCAGCAAACCAGGTATAAGTGCACCACAACCTCAATTCATCCTGTATTTTGTATTAATGGTAAACCATAAAGGGAGATAATTATAATAAAAGGGTGCATCTGGGTTTTAAATTTACAGTCAATGGATCCTGGCACAACTAAGGGACACAACTCTACACACACCAAGTATGAGTGCACCACCAACCTCAATTCATCCTGTATTTTATATTCAAGGGAAACCATAAGGGAGACAGTCATAACTACAGGGCACATCAGGGGTTTGAATTTAGTCACTGGATCCTGGCACAACAAAGGGACATAACTCTACACACGCAAAGTATGAGTGGACCACCTACCTTTAACAACATGCCGCTGACGCCAGCTTGACACACGCCGAACTGGCGATGTAGTTGCTCCACGGGACGTCCCAAACATGGCCGCCACTTCTCCTGGTAGTCGAGGGACTGCAGCAGCGTGTAGCACATCCCCAGCCCGTAGTTGCTGCGCATGTAGCGGTGAGCGCACGTCTGACGTACAAACACAGCCATTGTTAGACAATTGGAAATCAACAAGGATTGTTTTTTTATTATTATTGAGTTCATTGATCACCCACCCATAATGTAACCAAACCAGAATGTAATTGAAATGTAATGTCTTCTTTTGCCAAATTTCCAAGATACAACAATTCAAAGTAAACTGACATGGGAAGGGAGAAGGAGGTATAACTCCAAGCAGCATATTCCATGCAGTTAATATTATAACAAAATTTAAATAAATCATGCTAACTTATTATTTTAAACAGTACTACAGTGATATACAGTATAAGTTCGCAACTTTGGAGAAATTTAAAAATAGTTTAAATGATGCACAGAATACTACCTTGATTACATCATTGCGATAAATCCTATATATTAGCCGTTGGTCGCCTCTTACAACAAGCATAGTCCCCTTTTACGGCAAGCATGGGTTTGCTGAAGACCTGTTCTACCCCGGATCTGATCTATGGCAATGATGTAATAGAGGTAGGGAATTCATGCCTGGTTTCTGGCACACGATGGTCCACTTGATAACAAGTCAACAAGATTGTGTCAAATTGGCGTCGGCTGTCCTACCTTCATATGAGAGTGAGTTGTGTTTAACACCGCTTTTAACATTATTCCAGTTATATCACAGCGTGTCAGCTTCATGTGGGATGAAAGCCCAAAGTGATGCAGATCTCAGACGTTTACCCCTTCGGTGTAACCGACGAGCACACGTATGGTGCTGACAAACCTAGGAACATAATCGGGGCGAACCGGGATTCGAACCCACAATCATAGGTTTCTGGCGTGCCCAAGGGACGCAACTCTGCACAGTGAATTGCGGCGCCTTGGACGACTGTGCAACCCGTGCCCGCCCTTCATATGAGAGAACCAACTGATAACTAACCCTATCGGACAACACCTACCAACACGTTGCGTCCCTTCCCCTGACTCTGGACAACAACACCAAGCCATTGGTCCGTCATGTTTTCTTCCTTGTCCGGAATGGAATCTGAATACCAAACAATCTCTGTTACCATGACAACAATCCTTGATTATCTGGTGCATATTATCTCAATTCTATGATATGAAATATCTTGATTATATCCTATTACGAAAAGCATAGTCATCTTTTAGTTTTACAGCAAGTATGGGTTGCTGAAGACCTTTCTAACGTGAAGTCTAGACAAGTACAAGCAGTCATACATACACAAGCAAGCAGGTTGCCATATAAGTTTAATAATCTTGAATGTGTCATTTCACCTCACCTTATATGCAGCTATATGCAGTGAGTGTTGAAGTAGTGAGGGAGTTGGGGTCACTGCTGTTTAGGACAGTGCTTCAACAGAGCTCCAGATAACTTTTGGAGCAATTGAGTTTTTACTCGGAAGGTTTCTATCATAATTGGGTTATTACATTTTTCATTTCATAACCAATATTTTTTCACTCATCTATTCAACACTCCACTGGGTTTTTCCCAAATGAGCTAACATTTTGAGATTTAAAATAAAATAAAATAAAATAATATTTTCGATGTATATAAGGGTTCTAACTAAAGGCTTGACTCAGAAGGAAAATTATCTCGTAATTGTGTTTCGGAAATTAGCTCTTAGCATCATTGGGTATTTTCGCATGCTGTTTTGAGACATTTAAGTTTGCCATATAATTCATGCGTTTCTGTACGCAAGTTACTTGAAAATAATTTGTTTTTGAATATTTTTTGGGGGTATTTTACGCAAATACGCAGCTTATGAATAGCTCTGTTCAGTTATATCGCGGTGTGGGAGGCAAGCTGCATGTTCAGGGAGCAGGTGTCAGCCACCAGCTCAGGAACCACGAGTGAGTGAGTGAGTGAGATAGGGTTAACGCCATTTTGAACAGTTTTCCGTCACACTATGTGTGCACACTGCATGTCAGCTTATTGTGGGAGGAAAGTCCAAGTTGATGCAGGTATTACATGATTACCACTCAGCTGAAATCCAACAGCACAAGTATTTTCTACAAACATACAATGTTATCTGCTCCAGATATAATGTCAACTGCTCCAGATACAGTGTTAAATGATCCAGATACAATGTCAACTGCTCTCGATACAATGTCAACTGCTCCAGATACAGTGTTAACTGCTCAGATACAATGTTAACTGCTCCAGATACAGTGTTAACTGCTCCAGATACAGTGTTAACTGCTCCAGATACAATGTTAACTGCTCCAGATACAATGTCAACTGCTCCAGATACAATGTCAACTGCTCCAGATACAGTGTTAACTGCTCCAGATACAGTGTCAACTGCTCAGATACAATGTTAACTGCTCAGATACAATGTTAACTGCTTCAGATACAATGTCAACTGCTCCAGATACAATGTTATCTGCTCCAGATACAATGTCAACTGCTCCAGATACAATGTCAACTGCTCAGATACAATGTTAACTGCTCCAGATACAATGTTAACTGCTTCAGATACAATGTTAACTGCTCCAGATACAGTGTTAACTGCTCCAGATACAATGTTATCTGCTCCAGATACAGTGTTAACTGCTCCAGATACAATGTTAACTGCTCCAGATACAATGTCAACTGCTCCAGATACAATGTCAACTGCTCCAGATACAATGTCAACTGCTCCAGATACAATGTCAACTGCTCCAGATACAATGTTAACTGCTTCAGATACAATGTCAACTGCTCCAGATACAATGTCAACTGCTCAGATACAATGTCAACTGCTCCAGATACAATGTCAACTGCTCTCGATACAATGTCAACTGCTCCAGATACAATGTTAACTGCTCCAGATACAATGTCAACTGCTCCAGATACAATGTTAACTGCTCAGATACAATGTCAACTGCTCCAGATACAGTGTCAACTGCTCCAGATACAATGTTATCTGCTCCAGATACAATGTTAACTGCTCAGATACAATGTTATCTGCTCCAGATACAGTGTTAACTGCTCCAGATACAATGTTATCTGCTCCAGATACAGTGTTAACTGCTCCAGATACAATGTTAACTGCTTCAGATACAATGTCAACTGCTCCAGATACAATGTCAACTGCTCCAGATACAATGTCAACTGCTCAGATACAATGTCAACTGCTCCAGATACAATGTCAACTGCTCTCGATACAATGTCAACTGCTCCAGATACAATGTTAACTGCTCAGATATAATGTCAACTGCTCCAGATACAGTGTCAACTGCTCCAGATACAATGTTATCTGCTCCAGATACAATGTCAACTGCTCAGATACAATGTTAACTGCTCCAGATACAATGTCAACTGCTCCAGATACAATGTCAACTGCTCCAGATACAATGTCAACTGCTCCAGATACAATGTTAACTGCTCAGATACAATGTCAACTGCTCAGATACAATGTCAACTGCTCAGATACAATGTCAACTGCTCAGATACAATGTCAACTGCTCCAGATACAAGCTAACTGCTCAGATACAATGTCAACTGCTCCAGATACAATGTCAACTGCTCTCGATACAATGTCAACTGCTCCAGATACAATGTTAACTGCTCAGATACAATGTCAACTGCTCCAGATACAGTGTCAACTGCTCCAGATACAATGTTATCTGCTCCAGATACAATGTCAACTGCTCAGATACAATGTTAACTGCTCCAGATACAATGTCAACTGCTCCAGATACAATGTCAACTGCTCCAGATACAGTGTCAACTGCTCCAGATACAATGTTATCTGCTCCAGATACAATGTTAACTGCTCAGATACAGTGTTAACTGCTCCAGATACAATGTTAACTGCTCCAGATACAATGTCAACTGCTCCAGATACAATGTCAACTGCTCCAGATACAATGTCAACTGCTCCAGATACAATGTCAACTGCTCCAGATACAATGTTAACTGCTTCAGATACAATGTCAACTGCTCCAGATACAATGTCAACTGCTCAGATACAATGTCAACTGCTCCAGATACAATGTCAACTGCTCCAGATACAGTGTCAACTGCTCCAGATACAATGTTATCTGCTCCAGATACAATGTTAACTGCTCAGATACAGTGTTAACTGCTCCAGATACAATGTTAACTGCTCCAGATACAATGTCAACTGCTCCAGATACAGTGTTAACTGCTCCAGATACAATGTTAACTGCTCCAGATACAATGTCAACTGCTCCAGATACAATGTTAACTGCTCCAGATACAATGTCAACTGCTCCAGATACATTGTTAACTGCTCAGATACAATGTCAACTGCTCCAGATACAATGTCAACTGCTCCAGATACAATGTTAACTGCTCAGATACAATGTTAACTGCTCAGATACAATGTGTTTTAAAGGAAACAAAAATGACAAACTGACCGAATGGTGCGTCCTTGAGCTGTTCACAGTCATCCTCCAGTGTGCTCCCTGCAGGACACCTGTAGATGGCGCCACTTCTCTTCAATTGACTCAGTACGTCAGAATCAGCCTTGGGTGCTCCTATCAACAATCTGTAAGACAAGATCACATCGATAAGTATAACACCAGCTTAATTCTTTGAGGCGAAACGATGCATTGGTGCATCTTGAGTTTTCATCTACCAAACCGATACACATGCTACTCGTTTACTGACCCCCAACCTAGTGTTTTTGTCAGTCAAATATTGCAAAATGTGTTGTAATTAGCTTCTCCAGTTCACTACTGAAAATAGCCACTACAAACATGTGTCTACAGCTAGGTTTTCCTTTTTAACCTGCACTGAAATATCTATTGTAAAGAAGTTTCCACATGATTTGACGTAAATACACATATTGCGATATGTATCATATCATGATCTATGTTTAGTGATACGTATCGTATTGGGATCTTGCGGTATTGTTGGACTAAGCAAAGACTCCAGAGCTCCAGATAAGCTTTTGGTGTTGTGGGTATTTTACCCATGCATTTTAAAATCATTGGGTATCAGTAATACTATCTGGGTATTCAAATTTCTGTTACCCACTAGTTTTTACACATGTGGGTATTTAAGTTAAATATTTAAAAACACTATTCATCTAGTCCCTGCAAACTGGTGTCGTGTGGGTTCGAGAGCTTTACAGAACTAAAAAATACCACCATACTTCCACAATAAAGTGTGATGGCAAATGATCATGATGTAACTGTCATCTTGGAGTTTGGCAAGGTTGACGGAATGCCCGTTTATAATTCCAAAATAAGTTGCTGATTTGCTAATCGAATATGCAGGGTTACTTCACAATATTTTGATGATACGCACAAGTTTTATTTTTGTAGCGTATCTGTAGTGTTCGTGGCGTATTTGATACGCTTGGATTTTATTTTACTGCATATTTCTGCATTTCTGATGCGTATTTTACGCAGATACGCAGCTTATCTGGAGCTCTGAGACTCGTTAGTCCAGCCAAAATCTAAGTCCATAATTCCAGCCTAGTTCGGCAAGGGTGGAAACCATACTTCTACAATCAGTTAACTGCCTTGCCTTGGGGAGATGCATGTTCATATTGCCCTGGTGGTTAATGAGGACTTCCTTCATGTTGGAGGGACAGTCCATGTCAATATACCATGGCCATGACAGCCACATTGTTTTTACGTAAGTCTCCCCCGAAATGTGTAATGATTCCTTCACTGCTACTTGTTTCCTTGACCATAGCTGCTGCTCTGGTCAATCACATATAAATTCAGGTTTTCAGAGCAGGTCATTTTTTAGTACATTGACTGATTGTCATCCTAAATACAGTCTGTGGGAAAAGCCTTTGTGTCCATTAGCCCGGACTTGGCAGTTACAATCATGTCTTGTACATTGTATTGTTATCATAAGGATTACTGGCAGCTGATCTTACTAGACCAAACAGAATTTTACTAGGACTCACAGGCTTCGGACAAGTGGCTAAATTTCCAGCCTGAAAAAGTCCCAAGCTCCATGATTGTGTCCTGATGTCATAGTCTCAAGTCTTTCACTGAATCAGATGTGTTTTGAATAGGAGCTGCAGACGTAATGAGGTGATAATAAGTTTTCACATCCTCAATTTTCTTGTACAAAGAATTTAGCGAATAAATTGTCAAGTTAAACACAGATTTAATGAGGCCTAATCGGATAACATAACGACACATTAGACTAATAGACTAAAAATTCTGCTTGAATTAATATAACTATGATTAACTGTTTATTGAAAAAATAACCCATTTCACTGTTGCCATAGAGACCCAATCAAGGAATTAACAATACTTCCAATATTTTATCTGACCAAATAATTGTAATCAGTATCCAAGGCCTTGTTGTCCAGGCTGGGACAGATTAATCATCGCAATTATATCTCATAAATCTTTATCGTATTCCTCGTGGCCAGTTTATTGATAGAAGGCGGTGTCTGAATACAGGTCACACTAACCCAACAATCTGTCCGTAACATGCAAATATTGACTTAGTTTTCCCGTGATTGATGAACAATATGCCATAGAGTTTTTTGGCTCTTGCTAAATTCTACTAATTAACATGTTTCTAAGAGCACACGATTTTAACATACATGATCTACATCATGTAGCCAACAGGCTCAAACCCACTGAATACAGGTTCATTAGATTGACTGCAGTATTTTTCATTTTCATATTGATCAAACCATTATTATGACAAGGGGGAGATAACTCTATCTTCCTTTAGGATTAACTCACTTGCACATAAAAGTGCCTGGTAAATTTATGTTTGTTTGTTGTTTAACACCAGACTCAGCAATATTCCTGCTGTATGCCAATGGTCTGTAAATAATCGAGTCTGGACCAGGCAATCCAGTGATTTGGATGGTCAGGTTGCTGACTTGGTTGATGCATGTCATCGTATCCGAATTGCGTGGATCGATGCTCATGAAGTCAATCACTGGATTGTCTGGTCCAGACTCAATTATCTTCAGACTGGCGTCATATAGCTGGAATATTGCTGAGTGCGATGTTAAACAACGAGCAAACAAACAAAAAGCATGGTTCGGAGCCAAATGAAAGATTCAGGCATCTGAAAAGCCACGGACACAAAAGCCACCGACACAAAAACCACGGACACAAAAGCCACCCATATGAAAACCAGCAGCATCTGTACCTTCATCAACACAGGCCTCAAAATTGCTTCATATTTCAATTCATGTCAAACATAAACAAATATTTACTCAAACACCATAACAACTCAAATGCCATAACACTTAAGTTCACACATAACTCACAGGTAATCACAACAAAGGACAGCAAATGCCAAGTGTTATCTAACAGCTAATTGTTTGTCAGAGTCTGTAATTACACGCTGAACAGAACAATGGAACCGGTTAGGCCTGGTCAACTGATAAGGACACACAATTACCATGGCAACCATTACATCAAAGGGCGTCAGCGAGAGGTCAGACGCATTGTTTAGGTTCACAGTGACTGGGTAAAGCCAAATAATGCCACGACCAGGACAGAACTCAGTGTATGTGAAGAGCTGCTCACTCCTTCAACAACGTCAATGTGTTAACAGCGTGTAACCGTGTAACCGTGTTAACAGCGTGTAACCGTGTTAACAGCGTGTAACCGTGTTAACAGCGTGTAACAGTGTTAACCGTGTTAACAGCGTGTAACTGTGTTAACAGCGTGTAACCGTGTTAACAGCGTGTAACAGTGTTAACCATGTTAACAGTGTGTAACAGCGTGAATTGGACCAAGCAGATAAACACATTTAACATCACTGAACAGGCTGAAAGGTCCAACTAATTCCACTAAGAAGTATTTAAACACAGAAGAGTTCATTACGTCCCCCAAACCACCATGTTGTCGATCACTTCACCAGTAGAGGCTGTACGAGGAGAGGAGAGGAGACGGGTTCCTCGTTACACGGGTTCCTCGTTACACGTACAAGTGACTGACTACCCAACAGAGGGTTACTTGTAGGCTTGACTGCCTGTTAATGTACCATGGATTCTGCATGTAGCACAAAGTTGTTAACTTACTTGGGCTAATTAAAGACACTATTTATACTTTCACTTATATGTCAGGATAAGATATATGGATGAACAACTTCTTTATTACAATTAGGAGTGACGTTTCAGTGTAGGTTCTAACACTGTTATCAAGCAAGTGATATGTACTAATATTAGGCTATTACAAATTAATTAAAACGTTTACAAACTGATTTGGGCTAGCAAGTTAGTGGGCTAGTGCTTTTAAATAATTTATATTATTTAACAAGGGGGAAGTAAAGACACTCATCATACTTTCATTTACCAGCGATAGAAGCTAATATTTTTAGTCCACTAGTCCTTTTAATGATAACATCTAACAAAACCATTAGATAGGAATTTTACTTAGAAGTTGACAGATGACAATGTAGAGAGTGAGTGAGTGAGTGAGTGAGTGAGTGAGTTGGGTTTAACGCCGCTTTTTTCCAGTTATATCGCGGCGTGTCAGCTTAATGTGGGAGGAAAGCCCCAAGTGATGCAGGTTTCAGATGTCTACCACTTTGGTGAAACCCACGAGCACGGGTATGGTGCTGACAAAAATAGAAACATAATCGGGGCGAGCCGGGATTCGAACCCACAATCATAGGTTTCTGGCGTGCCTAAGGGACGCAACTCTGCACAGCAAATCGTGGCGCCTTAGACGACTGGGCCACCCGTGCCCCCTACAGAGTAGAGATAATGTATGGGTAACAACTTCTTTATTTACTGTAAGGTGACATTTCCGTATAGATCCTTATACTGTTGTGCCTCTACAGTAAATAAAGAAGTTGTTATCCAAACATTGTCTCTACTTTATAACAAAACCCTTAATAATGGCAAACTTCTACTTGTCCCTATAATACCTTCACTATTGGGCAGTTTGATAAAACTTAGGACTAGTGCCAGTTTCTAAAGCTAATTACATGTACTAATATTAGGCTATTACAAATTAATTAAAATGTTTACAAACTGACATGGGCCATCGACATGATCGAGCTAGTGCATGTCAGTTTATTAATTAGTGCTTTTAATTTATTTACAATATTACCTGGTGATGTTTATCATGTTTATAGAGCACCTAAGTTAAACATAAATGATCTACACCATGATGTTTACAATTAGGCCTCAAACAATTGAATACATGTTAATTGGTCTGACAGTCTTTTAAAAACATTTTTATTTTGAATAAACCATCATGACAAGGGGAGATAACTCTATTTAGCTCTAGGAATTTTGCACATAAAAATGCCTGGCAAATTAATGTGTACAAGCTGACACTGGTTAGGGAGCTTAGTAATGTCAATTTGCATCCCTGCAAACCATGTCTGTGGCATGACAGCCTACACTTTAACCACTAGGCCTCACTGCCACCACAACTCTGAAAACAATGGGCTTTACTTCAGATACATACAGGGGCAGATCCAGAATTTTTAAAAGGGTGAGTGAGTTTGGTTTAACACCGCTTTTAACAGTATTCCAGTTATATCGCAGGGAGTCAGCTTAATGTGGGAGGAAAGCCTGAAGTGATGCAGGTCTCA